TCTTTCTGTCTTTCTCTTTCTTTCTCTCCCTCTCCTCTTTTTCTTTCTTTCTCTCTCTCTCTCTCTCTCGCTCCCCCCCCACCCTTTTCTTACCCCATTTTTATATAATATGGCTCCAGGTACTATTAAGATGTTTTAACCACCTTAATCAAACCAGAATTGAATATATGGGACTTACAATATAAAGATAGAGCCTCGTGCATCGTACGGTTAATACTAAAATTTGAGGGGGCCGAGAAAGATAAACTATGTTTATTTAAATGTTCTCTCCTTTAAAACGTCTTGGTTAGATTAAACTGGAGATGGTTCTGAGCAAAATATTTCACAGAAACAGAACGAACAGGCAGATCTACGTGTAAGATCAAGTTTTTCTTGTGTTTTATTTTTTTATTGCAGATGGATCCAGTGTCGCTTGGAGGTTCTGGGTTTTTTAATCCTGTTGGCTGCCTGTGTGTTTGCAGTCCAGGCCAGAGATTCTCTGTCTCCTGGTCTGGTTGGACTAGCCATTACATACGCCATGCGGGTTAGTAGCCTATTTAGTCTATAATGCTTCTTTGATAGGCAGATGAGCTGAGGGTTTGCTGATACGTCGGTGTATTTATTGGTTTCTTGGCCAAGTAGTCTAAATGAGTAAATGTGAATATGGTTGATTTCCGTAGTTGGTATACTAGATGGCTGCATGTTCAGTCATTGTAGTTAGTGTGTGTGTGTGTGTGTGTGTGTGTGTGTGTGTGTGTGTGTTTGTGTGTCTGTGTGTATGTGTGTGTGTTTGTGTGTCTGTGTGCGTGTGTGTGTGTGTTTGTGAGGGGGTCAGGGGTTTTGTGAGGGTGTGTTTTTTAATTTTACTTTTTTTAAAACACGGCTTTTGCACTGTCCGAGTCGGGGGTACGTTAAAAGGACAGGTTATATGTTGTTGTTGTTGTTTTTTGTTTATTATTGTTGTGTGTGTGTGTGTGTGTGTGTGTGTGTGTGTGTGTGTGTGTGTGTGTGTGTGTGTGTTATTTTTACTTTTTTTTAAAGATAGTTTTTGCATTGTCTGATTTCCAGCCTTAGTAATTTTGTTCCTCCATATAGTATAAACTTTTCATTATTTTTTTCTGGCTTTCTTACAGTGATTCATTCATTTATAAAACCGCGTAAACGTTTATACTCTAAAGAACCAAAGGCCATTCATGTTAATGTTATACACAGATTAGGGCCTAAAACACGTATATCCAACGTTGAAGTTTACTTTTCATTTTTCTAACCCCCCCCCAACCCTTTCTTCCTCCATCCCTATATCCCATCTTCTTTTCCACCTCCTTGTAGGTATCTGTGAAATTCATATTTGGCACTCGAATATTCGGAGATTTAGAAACTCACATCGTGTCTGTGGAGAGGATGAGGGAGTACTCAGAGCTGCAAAGTGAGGTAATGTTTGTCCGTATGTTTGTCTGGTGGTCAAGTCTGTCTGCCGATCTATCTATCTATCTATCTATCTATCTATCTATCTATCTATCTATCTATCTATCTATCTATCTATCTATCTATCTATCTATCTATCTATCTATCTATCTATCTATCAAAATGTGTATATTATATTATTTATATAGAAATTATAGGAAATTCACTCTTACAGGCGCGGGTGCAAACATACACACACACACACACACACACACACACACAAACAAACACACACACACACACACACGCCGCACGCACCCACGCGCACACACACACACACACACACACACACACACACACACACACACACACACACACACACTCAAATACAAACCTTCAAATACGCGTACTTATAATGATAAACACTGATGTTGTGTCATTATACGAGTATTATTATCGTACAGTCCACGACGTTTTGTATACTCTTTTAAGTGCTATTTTCTGAAGCTCTCAACATAATAATAATGATAATAATAATAATAATAATAATAATAATAATAATAATAATAATAATAATAATGATAATAATAACAATAATAATGATAGAAAAAATAATAGTAATAATAATGATTATAACAATAATAAAAATAATAATAATAATAATAATAATAATAATAATAATAATAATAATAATAATGATAATAATGTACAACAACAACAACTACTACTACTACTACCACTACTACTACTACTACTACTACTACTACTACTACTACTACTACTACTACTACTACTACTACTAATAATAATAATAATAATAATAATAATAATAATAATAATAATAATAATAATAATAATAAAAGGTAACATGTATAGCGCAAATTCCTGCTCAACAGCAAACTTTATTAGCTTTGCAATGTAAAGAGTCCTCGTCCTTCCACCAGGCCCCATGGACCGCAGAGACGGACGCGACAAGGGTGACAGAGGAGTGGCCAGCAACAGGCCGCGTGGAATTCGTGGACTACAGCACTCGCTACAGAGAAGGCCTGGACTTGGTGCTCAAAAATCTCACCTGCTCGATCAACGGGGGAGAAAAAGTGAGTGTCGCCAATTAGTTTGCTGCAGGGTATCGTGTTTCTTATTTTGCTTATTTTAACTGTTCTTTTCTCCCCTCCCATCTACTTTCTTTTCTTCAAATTATGGATAGAATTATAAGCTAAGTTCATGTTTATTGCCTCTTGAGTATTCCGAGATTTAAAACTGACATTTGAATATTTTAAATCGTTTTCTCCCTGTTGTCTATGCTCTCAATGTTTCGTCCCGATGGGGCACCTGCTTCAGCTTTAGAAATTCTACTAGTTTTGTAACTATGTGTATATTATTTCATATATTACGCTTCTAGTGACGAATGAATACATGGGCAGTCAAAATTATGTTAAGGCTAATACAGGAGAAATTATTTATTCAGAATTTACTGAACTGAATAGTTTCAACCTGGGCACCAGCATGATCAGTACAAAAAAGGAGGATCAACAGTACAGTTTAGTGCCTTTACACACATTTCACGGGGAATAGGCTACTACACCTTGTAAATTGTATTCTGTTCTTGAGTTCATCCCATACATTATATTAACATAATTTTTAGACACCCCCTACTTTCTAATCTGTATCCTTAGGTTGGGATCGTGGGCCGCACGGGAGCGGGCAAGTCGTCCATGGTTCTCTCCTTGTTCAGACTGATCGAGTCGGTCAGTGGGAAGATCATCATAGACGGGGTGGACATTGGCAAGCTGGGACTACATACCCTGAGGCGACACATCACTATACTGCCACAGGTCTGTTGTATCTCAGGGCTGTGCTTGTCAGAGCTTTTATAGCCAGGGGCGAAGGCTGACTTGTTTGACAGTGTAATCAAAGTGAAACGGGACTAGAATCTAGATATGGCCTGTAGATATCACACAAGAATCTTACTCGAGGCAGCGACTCTGAGTTGTGAATGAAAACAAATCCGGAATTCATATTGTATGTTCAACCGCCAAAATAATCGGGAAAGTATCTTATTAAATATCAGTTCCAACTAAAATTAAATTAAATTTTAGATGTGAATACATAAACACAAAGCAAAGAAGCAAAGATGTCAGTACTAGATCTATATGTTATAGATCTACCAGTAAGTCTAACTCTTTGGTAGAACATGACAATTATCCTTTTTTAAATTTCACATTTGGCTGTTTTTGTTAGCCTTTCGCGGCCAGGAGCTGGTGTCATAATCGAGGTCACGATCTGATTATAGGACGGTAAAAAGTCGAGGAAAAAAAAACAAGCACACGCAGCAGTCAAGATATTATTAGGAGTTAGTTCCCCTCACATTTGTGAGGTAGACTCGACCAGCGTTAGTTAGCATAAATAATCAGGGCTTGAGATTGATTGTAACTGTGGCCCCAAAGGGGTGAACAGGGTATATGTGGCAATGAAACTGCTTGGACTGCTATGTACATGTTCCCTTCAACTCTATTGATAGACTCTTCCAGACTCACTTTAAGCTTACTTAATCAAAGCTTGCGACTGCTTATGGAGTGGCCCGAGAGGGGCGAGGAGGCTATTTCCGTGGCCGTGAAACCGTTTTGAATGTTAGGCATACTGTTCATTGTTGATTACGGACGTCTTTTTACATTTAATTTAAGAGGTTTACGTTTAAGGATGAATTTGACAGCGACAATGTTTCAAAATTAGGAAGGGAAGCAGTGATTATTTGATTATATAGACGCTTCGCCCCTGTTTATAGCCACCACTCACGTTTGAATGAATCAACCAATCAATCAATCAGCCAATCATTCAATCAACAAATCAACCATTCAATCAATCCATTCAAGAAGCAATCAATCACTCAATTGATCGATCTTTCAGTCAATCAATCAATCAATCCTCTTTTTTATAAATAAAAAAAGCTCCATTTCTAAAGAATGTGCCCATCTCTGTCTACAGGACCCTGTCCTCTTCGCTGGCAGCCTCCGCATGAACCTTGACCCCTTCAACGAGTCAACTGACGCGGGGCTGTGGACCGCCCTGGAGCACTCTCACCTCAAGAAGTTTGTCGAGAGCCTTCCACAACAGCTGGACCACGAAGTCGGGGAGGGAGGTGAAAATTTGAGGTACAAGTAAAAGAAATGGGCGTTTCAGTACGTGTTTAGTAAACTATGATGCCAATTAAAATAACAATAACAGTAACAGGCCACACCCTTAATTATATAAATTGTATCCAAGGGTTTGTGAACTAAAAATGCTCACAATCGTAATGATATAATATATTTATGTATTAGTCTTTTTAGGGGGGGGGGGGGGGGGGGGCGGGGGTAAGTGTTTTACTGCGCTCGCAAATGCATAAGGTCGTATGAGTGAGTATGCGGGACACATTAAACATTTTCAGTTGGTAGGGGTTTTTGAATTTTGCCCGGGTGGCGGCTGAAGCCTACTCTTTTCGATCTTAGACCATCAAGGGATCTTTAACGTGCGCATCTTGCACATGGGACTCCGAGATTTTTCGCCCTGGTCCGAGAAGGTTAGGTGTAGATCTTTCCTACCAGAAAATCAGGGGTGTGGCAGAAAGACAGCAGTAAGAAGGAGCCAAAGAGTGGCAGTAGAAAGGCATTGCAGAAAGAGTTAGGAGCCAAGAGGAGTGGTCAATTTAAACGAGGTGAGGGGTGGGGGCAGAAAGTGGAGACGAAAGCAGACGACAGAGCATTGCTAGAGAACAGGAAAGGAGTTGAACGGAAAACACTTTAAAAAAGAAAATGTTTCGGTCGCTACCCGGATTCGAATCCGGGACCTTTGAATGAGAGGCGAACACGTTAACCTCTAGGCCACTAGACGTCTAGAGCCACCATCTAACACTATTAGTCTAAGTCTAACAAAGATATAGTGAAATTGCCGAGATGCAGGAATCTTTCCGTTAAGTTCGAATTTCACTGTGTGGGGTTGGCCAACGTGTTTTAAACACGAAAAGAATAATCACAATTAAAAATCTCCCTGTAACAAAAAATTCGAGACATGAAAATCTGTTCGCTATGTGCGTATTTTGCTATGTTCGGTTTCATTGTGTGGTGCTTAACTGTATTGTCAACTGCATTTTTTGTGTGTATTTATTCAGCATGGGGCAGCGTCAGCTCATTTGTCTGGCGAGAACGTTGCTGAGGAAGACTAAGATCCTGATCCTGGATGAAGCCACAGCAGCCGTGGACATTGAGACTGACGAGTTGATTCAGAAGACCATCAGAGAGGAGTTTAGCGGATGTACCATACTGACCATTGCACATCGTCTAAACACTGTTATGGATTACGACAGGTAACGCAAGTTAAACATTATTTCACTTTCTTCAACTCTTAGTTTACAGCACACAAGTTCATGGTCGGAGGGCACAACTGGTAGGTCCTATTTCTTCACTTTCCCTCTGTCTGTCTGTCTTACTTTTTCCCAGCACTAACGGACTGTAATTGAGTAATTGTGTAGATGTGCTTCCTCTTACTCAAACAGACAAACAAAACACCAGTTCAGATGGCCCACTGCATCATTTGCCGGGTTAACAGTCGTAGTCGTAATAAAAATCTATCAAACCTCAGCAAATCCACCCTATCTTTAATCAAACTGTAATGTTTACCGCATTCCTACTCCGTTTGACGTTTATTTTTTTAATTTAAAAAGAAAAAAAAAGGGGGGGGGGGGTAAAAAGAACTTATAGAACAATTTGTGATGCCAAATTGTACTTGGATGATAAACCTGACTACATGCAATATATGTAACTTACAAAGGAGAATGGCCTACCATACTAAGAGTAAAAAAGAGACACCAATTTTTATTTTACCATCATTAAAAGATTTTAATTTGTCCTTTTTTCTGTTCTCCTCCTGCAGAATTCTTGTGCTAGAAAAGGGCAGTCGACTGGAGTTTGATTCACCAAATAATTTACTCTCCAACCACCAGTCAGCATTTTATTCTATGGCGAAACAAGCAGGACTCGTCTGACAGCCAGCTCTTCCTTCAGGAAATTAAATACATATATAATATTATGTAAAGAAATCCCTTTTTGCTACACTTTGATGTCATGAAATGAATTGTTAAAAATGGAATTTTGCAGGTCATACTCTTCTTATTCTTATGGTTCAACTGTTATTGGGAACAGGAATTTCCTCATACCCGAAAGTGTAAAATAATCCTGTGAAATAGGTTATACAGTTTATTTACAGTCCCATCCTCACGTCGAAAAGATGTGACAAAGAAAGATCTGCTGCCTTGGGAAAGCAAAAAAGTCCGTTTTTGGACAAGTTTCGTTTAAAAAAACAACAAACAAGTAAAATTCTGAAACTGGAACAATCCAATAATAAGAAACGACTAAAGCATCTTCGCGTGTACGTGTGTATCTTAGAATAAATAAACTATTAGGAAAATGGCCATGTGCAAGATTTCAGGTTGCTTTGCCAGCTGCAAAATTCCTCAACAGTTTGCTGTGCCAGAAATGGTTTCATTGGTCATAACCAAAGCCACAAGTCGTCTTGACATTTAAGTCTTCTGTTTCGCTTAAGGCGTAAGAAATAATCTCCTCTGTGGGTGCATTGGTCATCGTCAGATAATATTAATAACGAACTATAAACTATTATCTAAGTTGTCAGATCATTGAAGTCGGACAGTCGTAATGAAATGCGAAAAAGTTAAAGTTCTACCAATGTAACCATGAAGGCCCCCTACTTGTATTTCTTTGACGTCATGCATGTGAAAGCAGAAGAATGAACTTTAGTTTAAAAGCTAGTAAGTTTTACGGCACTTGCAACACCATAAAGTCGTATAAGTGCAGGAGATTAGAGGTGTTACAAGAGAGTGACAAAAAAAAAGGAGAGATCAGGACAATAGTTGTTTGATTTTGATGGGAAAGAAGGAGCAAACTACAGAATATCCCCCAACTATCGGCGTGAACTGACCTCGTGGATCGTAGATTGGTGATCCCTGCACTTCTAAACAGCACAATGGAGATGGACTAAACATTTGGAAATAGTCCTTTACAATACATGTCAGCCTTTTTAATATGTTTAGTCCATCTCCATTGTGCTGTTTAGAAGTGCAGAGATCAGCAATCTACAACCAGCGAGGTCAGTTCATTCGGATGGTTGATGGAAACTCTGGTGTAGTTTGCTCCTTCTTTTGCTCCCAAAAGTTTCAGCCAGCGTCAGTGGTGTGACTTGTAACACCAACTGTTTGGTGCTTTACCGTCGCACACTATGACACAGGTGATGCGAGTCTGGTTCCCAGGTGGGGAGAATTTTTATCCATCTGTCTACTGGGACGATGTACATGTATCCCTCTCAGAATGGATCGAAGCCTACCTCCTAAATGATCTAGTTTGCCATGGCAGTGGAGGCGTAGAACTCGTACAATTACATAGGTGTATAGTATTGCTATAGTTTGTTTTTTTCTGGACCGGCTCGTCCCAGTGAAGGATTTTCATTTCAATGGGTTTTTTAAAATATATAATATAATTTAAGAAAAGAAACAGAAACATGTTCATTCCATAAAACTTGTTTCTTTGAAGAATAAAGTATTGTAAAGAAAGACAACTGTGTCCTTATTAGTGATGGGTACATTTAATGAATGTCCGTTGTCTTGATGAAATATTTAACATAAACGACTATAGGTATTTCAACACAAGAAATCTCACCATGACAGAAAAGAGGCCGCTGTTGGTTAATACATGTACTTCTACATGTACTCCTAGATTATTTTCTTTTACTTTTAGTAGTAATAATAAGTGTTTTTACGGCCCCATTGACACAGTTTGGACCATCTAGGTGGCTTCGACACAGCCTTAAAGTAAGGGCAAACCAACTACAGCTGAAAGGGATACGACACACCAGCAGAAAGACGGTGATATATTATTATGTACTCGATAAAAATTTCTCCGCACTCGGGTCTCCTGCATGCAACAGCGAGTACCTTACCACTTCACCAAAGACGCCAGTTCATAGATTGTGATGTAGCCTACGTTTAGAGGAATGTGTATTATTAGGTGCCTTCCTGGTTTATTTCGTTGTGGGCTTAATATATAAATACACATGAACATGTAGACAGTTGGCAGTGTTTTGTCTCAAATTTTCTTTCCCACTCACATCCCATATGCAGCAGGTGGTGAGAGAGCAACTTTAGCTTTAGTAAGTATTTTACGGCACTTGCAACACAATAAGGTCATATTATTATTATTATTATAAGTGCAAAGATTAGAGGTGATACAAGAGACTCAAGAAAATAGATGTTTGATAGGAAAGAAGAAGCAAACCACACCAGAGCACCCGCCAACCACCCACAGCAACTTTGTTTTGCAGAAATGGGTCTCTTTGTCTTTTGAAAGCGTGAAGTGTGACATGCATTGACAACAGTAAGCTACTGTGGTTGGAAAAAAAAGGAAAGGGGGGAAGAGTCAACCTGGAAGTGCAGTGAAAAGGCTCAAAATTAGTTTGCAGTGTTAATTGTTAATCATATATTTTTGAATTTTCGATTGCGTTAAAAGGGAAGTTGCAATGAATAGAATTAAGAGGGGAATGGGGGTTTGAAATCTTTTCCTGTGAAACAGGTTCGTGCCTAACAGAATCTACTGTGCTTTCACAGGACAGGCCAGAATCTCTGATCACCATATCAACCAACCTTCTACTGCATAATGGGACCATCTGATTATTTTACGCACCTGTAACACATTTAGTTAGGTCATATAAGTGCCGAATGGTTAAAATAGCAGCAAGCCATGGATGACTGGTGCTGCTATATAAATTATTGAAGGTCAAGTGCCAAAGTTTAGAGATGATACAAAGGAGTAACAAACCGAAAAAAAAACAAAACAAGGAAGCGAGAAAACGATAGATGTTTGATAGGAAAGAAGGAGCAAACCACACCAGAGCACTCGCCAACCAGCCACTAGACCATCTCATAGTATACATTCTTTAAAAAATACAGTTCAACCAAAACGTAAAAAACAAACAAACTGACTTTCACCAATCTTTTATTTACATAAAACAAAAAAACAACCACCAAATCAGCATCACAATCTGAGGACAGAGAAGAAAAGAAGGAAAATTGGATTATGAAAACACAATAGACAAATTTTATTTCTCAGTTTGAGAAATTATAAATAACTCTAAAGACATGACAATAATAAAGTGAGGTGGAGTCAACTTTGGACAAATTCAAATCGTGGGGTTTGATGACAAGGACCAGCTCTACCCAGGGTCTAAGGAATACATGGCCTGACAAACATGTTTCATACTTGAGGGAACAGATCAAATGAAGCAAACATAACCATATCCGCTCAGAGAACAGCTGACCCTTTACACACACACATATATATATAATAATTTTTTTTTGTAAAGTGTTTTACGGAGCTCGCAACTGCATAAGGTCATATGAGCGCGAAGGACACACCTAATATTTTCAGTTGGTAGGAAATTTTGAATTTTGCCCGGGTGGCGGCCGAAGCCTACTCTTATCGATTTTAGACCACCAAGGGATCTTTAACGTGCACATCTTGCACACAGGTCCTCCGAAATTTTTCGCCCTTGTCCGAGAAGGCTAGGTGCAGATCTTTCCTACCAGAAGATCAGGGTTGTGGCAGAAAGACAGCAGTAAGGAGGAGCCAAGGAGTAGGAGTAGCAGTAGAAAGGCTGCAGAAAGAGTCAGGAGCCAAGAGGAGGGGGCAAAGGAGGTGAGGGCATAAAGTGGAAATGAAAGCAGACAACAGATCATTGCTAGTGAGCAGGAAAGGATGTAAAAAGGAGACAATTTTAGAGAACATTTTTCGGTCGCTACCCGGATTCGAACCCGGGACCTTTGAATGAGAGGACAACACCTTAACCTCTAGGCCATGAGAGCCCCCTATATATATATATATAAATTATACGGTCAAACCTGTGAAAGACGGCCACCCAATGTCAAGGAGGAAAATGGCCGTATAAGACAGGTGGCCGTCTTAGGCAGGACTGATCAAGATGAAGAAAACAAACTATTCCCATCTGAGGTCCCAATCAAAAGTAGCCGCATTGTTGTTGTTTTTATTGTTGTTGGTTTGTATTTTGTTGTAATTTTTATTTTGTTGCTGACTTGGCACAAGGGTGACAATAAAACGAAATGTATCAGACAAGGAATACCGAATGTCTTGTTAAAACAAACACATGGGTCGCCACCACTCGGAGAACGAGCTACGCTTCTGTCACAAGTTCATGTTGACATCCTTTGTTACTTTGTTACAGACTGGGTAAACAGTGACCACTCATCTCACTTACGGTTTGTGTATGAATTCTGGGCGGGGCTTATAGGTTATAAGGGATCACACGCTTACCTCACCAGCAGCTGAAAATTGGTAGCTATTGGTCAACAGTGGGAGGGGCCTACGCAACATGATCGGTTGGAGGGATTATCTAACAACAACGACAGGTGATTGAATTAAGACGGCTCGCCCACAACGCCAGGGGCAAATTACACAATTTATGACAAAACGTAATGGAGTCAGTAAGGTGGCCGTCTAAGACAAGTGTTATTGCTTAGTGTGATAGGGGTTGTGTATTAAATTATGGTGGCCACGGCCGCGTTGGACAGGTGCCCGTTTTACACAGTTAAATTATATAGAAAAAACACGAGGGGGGAAATGGAAAGAGGCCGTTTGTACAGGTGACTGTCTTATAGAGGTGGCCGTCAGGGCAGGTTTGACTGTATATATATAACACAGGAATTAAAATGCAAATTGATTATTGTAATGTGATACATAATGAATGATGAGAACATGACCTAATTTCGGGCCACACTTTCGGCAAAAAATAATACATTACAATTATTATACAGTCAGTGCGATAGCAAAATACAAATTCTCAGTTTGGATCCGTCTGTACTTACGTGACTTCTTTATGGCCTTTCTTCTCAAACACTTTTGGCTTATACTTCCGTTTATTCCTGAAAATAAAATTTTTTAATTAAAGATCAAAAGATAAAAAAATGTCACTGACAATAACATAAGAAAACAGCATGGACAGCACAGAAATGTTTCTTGAGTCAAATAATATCAATACACCATCCCCACATGATGATGAACAAACTGCGCACACATCCATTCAATCATTTCATATAAGTCAAAAGCACATGAAAAAAGCAAAAAAGAAAACATACAGGTTTTAACTCATTCTCAGTCAACTCCACATAAAGCTATGACTTGCTATGCTGATCCCTAATACAATGATGTTGAAAGCGATATTTCATTTCTTTCTCAAGGATGTTCGCAGATCTTAATTGGTAACTTTCATCCTGTCTGCTATTCCCTTTCTAGATGTGTTTTGTTATTCTTCATGATTTTAAGACGAATGTGATGTATGGGTGTCTCAGTAACAGACACATTATTCCCCCATAAGGAAAGCTATAAGTACTATTAGTTGACTTTTGCTAGAGAGTTTTACAGCATTTGCAACACAAATACGTAATAAAAATGCCGACGAATAGAGGTGTTACTAGAGACTAACATACAAAAAAAGGAGGAAAGGACGATATATATATGTTTGAAAGGAAGAAAGGAGCTTACCACACCAGAGATCCCATCAACCACCTGCATAAGTACCATGATGGCTCATTTCAAACGCTGCAGCAACATTGTGGAAATTTCCCACCCCTCCCAGTGTAAAATGAGTTAGGAGAATTGTTTCAATACTTCACGACAATGGGCGTTCCTTCAAATTATTCACAAAGCTATCGTAAAAGACACACAATACATACTTCTGTCGCACTCTTGGTTCTGTCATATTCCTTCTCTGTAAGCTCTTGTACACATCGCTGATCACATGGCCCTCAGGCTGGAAAAGAAATAATCAAATTGGATCTCATAAATGACGGAACGAACACTGTTGTTGAATGTTATAGCCATTCTAGACAGGATACAAGACAGGTGTGATGTACATTGCCTTTGATCAATGTTTTTCATAAAAAAATGTAAATAAAATTGCAGTTACCAAGGACACTTCAGCTTTGGAAGCCACAAAACTTTGACGATCATTTTCTTGCTAATTTAACCTTTGACACCGGGCGACCTCACCTTCTTCAACAGCAAATATCTCAATTTCTATGCAAGATAGATGAGTATTTTCTACATAAAAACCAAGGCAAATGAACAGGCTTTTAGATAATACCAACATCTCCATATGCCAAAAAAATTGATGAACGCCTGATTCCACTGTGTCATGACGTTTAATTAATGCAAACCACAAAGTTTTCATATAATCTTAATTGACAAAGATGACGCTGAAAAGTAAAAATAAAATTTTTCTGAGCAGGCCAGGACTTGTTATATCATGCCTTCGTACACAGACGGGGCAGAATGTGGCTCCCCTTGAGAGAAAGCTCTATGGCAGTCTCTCAGAGTTGAAGCAAACTGCACAGTTTGTGCGCGACATCAGACGGACTGTCTAGCTGCTGTCATCGAGAACGAGGAAGAAGAAGAAGAAAAGTTATATCATGCAGCATTTTAAAAACAAATTGTAGTTTAAATTATCACAGGTAAATTAAATACTAATACTTACCAAGACTTCCCTAAGTGACCCTACAAGCTCTGTGGACAACTTCAAGTCTAAATCAGGTTCTTCATATCTGCACTGGAGTTAAGGAAATAAAAAAAAAGGACACCTAGAAAATTGTATAAACCTAACGCTAAGGTGGATGGCAGATTTGTCCTGATCATGGGAGTTGACTATTCTCAGAAAAAGAACACCAATCACCAAGATCTAAACAATCTTAGTCCTAATGTACAGGTGTCGAGCAAATAATCAAAGATGCAAATGTTTAAAGACCATAGATTAGATACTGGAACATCAGCTGTCGATCGAGTTAAAAAGGGAAAAAACTGGGTACTGCATTAACAGTACTGACCATTTACTAGCCAACAGAAAGGAAAATTAGATGGAATAACTCCTGAGCTAATTTACTGAATGCAGCCAAGAAAGCAAGGACTAATTAAATGTGTTTATAATTACGGACAAGCATTCACTTCAAGAAGTGAAAATTTCATTCCTTATACACAAAGACTTACATCAGGAATGGATGTTTCCTGTTTCTCAGTTTAAAAAGGATACTTAATTTTTCCAAGTCTTTTTGTCCTGAACTTCATCTGTTCCTTCAAAACTTGCTTTTTTGCAGCTCTCTGTTGTTGCTTTCTATCTTCTTTGTTGAGCTGAGCTTTTATGGAAGGTATCCTGAGGAAATTCAAATAAGCACACAAAGATGAAAGAACGAAAAGTATGAATTCTCACCAAGGACCCACCTACACACACTATACAAACGAATAATATAATTATAAAATTAAGAAAAGGCAAAAAACAAATTTGTTGAAAGAAAGCGTACAATATTACTTTTAGCAATTATTCATCTATTAAATATAAAATAATAAAGTACCCTAATCCCATGTTGCTTTAACCTTCTGTACAATTATATAATTTCCTTCCCAGTGGATGTCCAAAGATTTTATTTCTTAATTAGGTCATAGCAGAGTGATGAACTTTGCCTGGTTCTCAGTTTGATCAAAAGAACAGGATATTGAACTTAACCTCAAACAGATAAAATCTAGGGGCAACTGAATTGCCATTATTTCTCAAAACCAATTATGACAAACAAAAACAACACATACTGTGTATGAGTCATCACGGCATTGCTGTTGCCAAAAGAATAATAACCTCCATCGTTTTATACACATACTCAATCTGCAAAGCAGTTAAACAGAGCAATTCTTTTTTTTTTTTTGGTAATAGCGATAACACACCTCTTTAAAAAATGTTTTCTGATATTCAAAAACAGGCCTTTGTAAAACTTCTGAGCCAGTAGAAAATTATGAACACTACAATGTAACAGCACCTTAGCACCATGTTTTCCCGTTGTTTGACATCATTCTTTGCCCTTTTCTCTTTCAGCTGCCGAAATACAGAATACAGAACATCTGTAGGTAAATCAACAATTCAGTAAAAAGTAAGAGAAAAACATGACATTGCTAAGAAAACCAAACTTCCATGATAGGAATTCATAGACGAAACTGTACATGGTAGACTTTTAATGAAAAGCAGAAAACAAAGCTCAGTTTATAACATGAAAACGTGCCAAAAATACACTCTCTGTACACAACAATTGTTTTTCTCACTGAACAAAGTTCAAGAAAGAGAGACCTTAGGATATATTTCTATGCATGGTCCAAAGACAGCATTTTTCTGACAAAGAGCCTGGAAAAAGTACAAATAGACCTATGCAGTTCTTTTAAATCAATGTACAGATTTAGAACAACATGTGACTTGTTACTACGCTTTATCATGTTGGCAACAGTCTATCGGAAAGGACACGAATATCACACAGCTTTAACCTAATAATCACCTTCACTTCTTCGTCTTTCTCTACTCGTCTCTGCTTCTTCGTCTTTCTATCTTCCCGCCGCACTGGAGGGTTGATGGCAATGGGCTCCTCAGCATCTGCATCACTTTCTTCTTCTTCATCAGAGTCATCGACAAGCCCTGCTGCCATTTCCTCCAAATATGTTGACTGTTACAAAACAAGACAAACAAAAGATAGACTTACATTTAATTTAAGTCCACAACAGGGAAAGGAAATCAAGTCTTTAAAACAAGAACAATAGCACACAGTTTTGGTTTCAATTCCTCTACCAGTTTGACAAAAGACAGAGAGTTAAGCTCCTATGCTCATGTAATTAGACAAATTTTCTTTTTTAACTCAGGTGTTTTTAACAGAATTTAGATCATTTAGGAGGGCTTCTGACCCTGCTTGTCAGGGCCAACCTCGGATAAGAGGTTTATAACATTCCAGCAGAAAGACCCGAGATATTCTATACTATAGGCCTACAAACTTTCTCCCCACTCAGAAATCGAACTCAGGTCTATACGCAATAAAACGAGGACCAACAACAGAGTCAGATAACCTATGCATGAGGAAAGTAAAACAATTGACACTGTTTGGTACAAGAACGATTCAACCCTAAATGATTCGGAGACAACACTTCTAAAGACAAAATCATGCCCAAGACACTTGCAATGTATTCTGTTTTTTAGTTGATGGTATTTTTACATCCGATTCAACACAAAGTAAAAATCTGGGTTTTTTTTAAATGGAGGGTCCAAATTTACTTTAACCCTCCCCCCAAGAATAATTTAAAAAGAACATAACATTTACTCCCTTTCAAAGGTTGGGGTATTTAAATTTCTTAAATTCACAGCCGGGATAAATAGGATGGGGCTTACCTCATTCGGAGCATCTTCTCTGGAGGGAAACTTTGCATCTAAGGAATTGTACACTTTTTTCTCCTTTTTAACCTTGCCAACTTCTAAAACACGAGCTTGTAGAAGAAGGCCCTGTGAAATGAAAAAAAATTTTTTTTTAATTGAGAGGTGATACTGGACACAAGTAGGCTCTTTAAGAATTATTTCATGGATCAGTTTGATAGCACTATTTTCCAAATAGAGGTTAAAGGCGTATTTGTTCCAACTGACTGTGAACAATCTTAACATTCCAGTGGTCGAAAAACAGTGCACTCAGTGGGCCCCAAGTGGCAAAAAGACTGGATCACTATCCATGTTTCTTTGGGGTGTATTAAATAAAACAGGGATGCAAAATGATTTTTTGAAAAACAAACTGAAAATGAGTAGAGCATCGCATCTCAACTAAAACGAACCTTGAAAAAGTTCTTAAATGATCAAACAAAAACATCTCTCTTACTTCTCCCCTTTCTTTTGCAAGTGTATGTAAAAAAAAAAAATTAAAAAAACAACAACGGAAAAACCGGAGTTTTGGCATCCCTGATGATAAACCTTTATTTTGTAAGTTTGAAGAGACATACTTAGGAAACCTTTATATGTACTCAGAAGAAATAAATTACATTTTATTTCATGTAAATGAGTTGTAATGTCAGCACAAAAGTCAACACAAGAGTCCAGGTTTACAAGTAAAGATGACAGAGTTAAAACAGAAAAAATATCAAACAAAACAGATGTTATCATATTATTCATTTCTGGCGAGTTTTCAAGGTTATGACAAGAGCTTGCAACATCTTAAACTCAGACACTCATCCTTGATGTACCTGATGATCCTCATAGGCTGGATTCACTGAAGCTCCTGGGTGAGGTACTACTGTAGCATTCAAAGCACTGGGTTTTTTCCTGTATCTCTTCGGGGGCTACCGAGCAGAAACAACATAGAACAACAATAATAGGAATTCATACTCAAAGCTATTTAATACACACAAAAAAAATAATTTTGATTTTAAAAATTCCACCTCAGTATTATGAATAAAAAATAAAAACTACAAGGTTAATTTTCTCAACTTGTTCATAGATAGTAGTATATAAATTGTTGCCGTTTTATTTCAGCTGTATATCAATTCAGTAAAAAGTAAGAGAAAACATGAGTTTGTAGTTTCATTTTAGAACAAAATCAAGCAACAAATGCTGGTGATTTCATTTTAATTACAAAGTGCACTGACCCTTTATTTGCAATACATTAACCTATCAAAGGGATTTACTCATACTTTTATATTATTTCTCTAAATCCTGTGTTTTTAATTGATTGCATGTACCAGCCAGTTTAAAGTGCAACAGGGAGGACTTCCGTGACTAACTATACTTTAACAAAAGACGGATTGCACATTCTCAAGGAGAAAATAAGTACTCCAACAGAATTTTACACGAAAGGTCAAGGACTCAAATGTACAAGTAGAAGAGGAGGTGCCAAAAATAGATGGAGGACGAAACAGATTTAGCTTCATTATAATCATTGATCAAATTTTGATCTTCGCCAACAGACAAATTTGTTCTCTCACTCACCTTGACTGTCACAGGAGTACCATCATCTGAATCTGTAGGGAAAATGAAAAAAATAAAACGTCCTTTTTAGGTAATGTTTTTCAATATATTTCCTTTCAGAAAGAGCACACACAAAAAATATGCACGTACTCATTCATTCTTGAAAGTAAATATTAAATAAAAGTGTACCTTTCAAAAATCATTAGACCAAATCAAACATAATTTTGCATTCCACAAACGACAGACTGACACATGCTTGGGTGGTTAAGAATACAAAATAAAACAGTGATTCATAAAAATGTAAAAAGCTTGTCGTGAGCACCCTTTACACACTTATGCAACAAATAGGTGAGGAAATTGATCTATCAAAGGGAAACAAGGAATATATCATACAAAATCCTTTCTTTGCTTGGATATATCCTGTTCAAGTTTTTGCACATGCTTTTAATTCTCAGATTAGATGAGCTTATTTAACTTAAACTACACCAAACTGCAGTAAACTAGTATTATATTTAGTATTGTTTCACGAGTATTTTAAACGAGCTAATAATCCACTACCGGGTTAGCAAAAAAAGTTAACAAAGAGAAAGAAGACTGTAATATTAGACAGAAAGCTTAACTTTTTGTTTAATGCAATAGCAAACAAGACCAAAACATGCCAAAACGAGAAGTCAAATACTGTGCATTTTTGCATGCTTACCTACTTTTCACTGACTCACGCACTCGGTTTAGTTATGCACATCGCCACCATAACTAATATTATCCCATGCCAGTAAAAGGCTAGATAGGCAAACAGAATAAATAGCTGCCAAACTGTATACTTATAACTTCCACAAGGGAACTTATCGCTAGTTACTGTAATACATTTGTTTTGATTGGCTGAAGAATACAGCTTTAAATATCACACTGTGCGGTGAAGTCTCACTCACAAGTATACTGGTGGTTAGGCTCTCCGGTAATTTTTTATGTGACCAGATTATATAACAGTTGCAGAAAACTACAAAAAATCAGCCGTTCATAAAAAGTCACACAACTTCGGCTGTGTACATAAATTTTACCTGCCCATAGGTCTGAGTCTACAGTGGGGAGTTCCCTCTTCTTTGCCCTTCTAATCTCTCTCACTTGTGCAGACTTCTGACTCTGAGCTTCTGCTGCAACTCTTCTTTGTGACCTCGCCTTCTTTTGAACACGTTCCAAAACAGGCTGACTTCGTTTCCCTCTCTGGAAATTGTTATCATCAGGCCTGGTGCAAGTGCAAGTAAATGGAAGTTTAAGGTGGGTATTCCAAAAGCCATTGGAACAATAATAAAAGCAAAAGAGAGAGCATGGTTATCTTTTACAAACATTAATACAGATGCAAGGACAATAGAACCTCCCCCCCCCCCCCTCGAAAAAAAGTCTTGAAAAGCTCTGGATAAAAAACAACTGAACAGCAAGAAATGTATAAAAACCCAGTAAAGATGGAGTATAACTTGACAGATGTGATTGAAACAAAGACAATAGCAATTTCTAGCTGAACAGAGAATGGTTTCATTTCATTTTTTCAGACCCAAATTCCCAGTAGCATCAAAACTTTAGTTTCATAAAGTTGATTCATAATCAAGCTTAAACAGACATAAAATTGCCCAGCAAGTGTTAACAGATTGATTAACACCAAGGCAGCAATGTATTTGCTCAATAAAGCTCTGAAATCCCCAAGTCCATACTGCAAATCCAAACCACTTATAGATCAACAACAAGTGCTTTTATGTCCTGACTTACTTTCTCACTGACTTGCTGTGGGGATTTGGTAGAAGGAGGGAGAGGCACTTTAGAGCTTTGTCTTTGCGGGCTCTCTTGCTTCGGGGACCTGACAAAAGGGAAAGAGAAGAAACATTTGTTTAATTTTAATAACAATAAAGCATACCTTTTTTAGCATGGGAACAGTATATAGAACTAGAAAAGAAAATCTTCCTTCAAACAACTGGAGTTTGACTTTGATTTCTAAATAAAATGTCAGCAGGTTATAAAAGGAAAGAGCTTTAAATAAAAGGGTGATAGGCCACAACATTAGGACCCTGAAATCATAAAAGAATTATAAATAAAATATCTTCAAAGATGTACAGAAGATGGACAAATAGAACAAAGTGCATTATGCATCCCATTCACATCCGGTTGAGACAAAAGATGAAGTTCCTCCTTTTGAAAGTAAGCAAAACTGTGAATGATACAATGCACAACATCACAAGTCATGAAACCTAACTGCAAAAAAATGTGTGAACATTAAGCAACTCTAGTTAAGATTAACTTTAGTTATCCACATTTATTTTTAACTCAATAATTTTTTTTTTTCATTTCAACACACACATGATATTAACTACCCAACTTAGATTTTAAGTACAGAAATAAAATATCTATTAATAGAAGCATCAGCCAAGTAAGATGTAAAAGTAGCACTTACCTTGGGTGGCATCTTCTGCATCATTCTTCTTGTTAATACCACTGTCTAATACAAAGAGGCTTTCATCACTTTTTTCTGAAACCAAACCTCTGTGGAAAGCATGAATGTCACCATGTCAAATTTCAAGTCCAAATTTTTAGGGGCTACTTTATGAAAAAAGAGAACTAGGCACACTACAAAATTATAAGAAAGATGTTCACCGAAAATGCTCTCAGAAAACTAAACACAATTTTCCAAGGAGACATTTTAATGTTCTGAAGATTCTAGCCCAATACCCAGAGCAGTCTCAGCCTCAGATGACAAAATAAACTGCAGCTACTAACTAAACATTCATATTATTAATAAAATTACAACACCAATAAGTCTATGTTAGAAGCAGTAAAAAGACATTAATATAGCAATGCCAATGACAAATTTTTCGCTAGCCCTTTTTTTATTTGGTACCTAAGAAAGTTTTTGGAATGGTAGTGTATACAGACCCGGTAACCGGGAACAAAGTCACAAAGTATACAGACCCGGTAGGGGAACTCTTTTGTGATTTCGGAAAGTTTCAGTGCCCTCTTGGCTCAGGGTAGACTAAGGTTCTTCTAGATCTATGGCCTAGGTCTCGATCTAGACAGACAGACATAAATCATTGATCTCGTTTCGAGGTTTGCCTAGATGTAGATCTAAATGAAGATTGCGGATGTCTTTTCGATGAACGATCGTTTTTCCTCCGTTTTTGGAGTTGGAGGAATCACAATTTGAAGAAAAGAACAATGTCATAGCTTCAATCGAGCAGTCACGCTCTCTATTTCTCTCTCTCTCCTCTGTCTCTATGTATCGCTCGCTTTCTCTTTTTCTTTGTTTGTCTCTGTCTTTCTTTCTCCCCACCTAAATGTATTTCTCACTATCTTTCTCCATATGAGCCACTGCCAAAATGTGGGGAAAAACACACACATCTCACATTAGTGTGCATAAAATGTGATGCATTAGTATTTATTCCTCCAAAACATATACACATGTCAAATATAGGATGTAGAACCTGCATTAGCAGTTTCAGACCCCTTGTCAGCTTTACAATCTTGAGTTTGTAAATTTTGTGCCAAAAATGTTCGTTTTTTAGTGATTCCTGGAGTGTCATTTTGAGCACACCAATGCAAACTTCCAAGAATGTCCAAAATTTAGTATTTTTGGGTGGGTTTTTTTTCCGTGTGCTTTGATCCTATGTTATTTGTCATTGAGAAAGGTTAACTTGCTCAAGAAATCGGTTTATTTGTTTGCAAATAGACGAACAATTCGGATTACTTGTGCGTCTGTCGTGTCGTCACGGACTAGGTGTTTCAGAAAACACCATTATTTTTCAATAGAATCACTGTAGCTGGTTAAATCTCTTTGCCTATCGTCGTTTATTCAATACTTCAAAAGCCGCGATGCGCGAAAGGAACATCGGGTTCCTAGATCTACGATTTCGGTCGGCTGTTTAACATTCGCCGTTATTGTTGTCAATTTGCAACGTGCCGGAAGTCCGAATTTCGCACACTTTTGTTTTGAACGGGTCATCACAAGTGCCCAGATATAATTGTTTTCTTGAGTGACTTCCCCTTACTCGCGTCCCCAGAACAACGGAAGCAACGGGGGAAACAGAAAAACGAAAGTAGTCATTGCCTTCAGCGCCCGGTGACGCTCAAGAATTTTGCGTTGAATGTGACGCACTGGGCTGTTTTGCGTGTTTTTAGGCTACTCTGTTGATTTTAGTGAAATTGCGGTGTTTGCACTGGATTCCTGGAACAAGAGTGTGATGTGTAAACAAACTTTGAGAGATGGATCATTTCTGTGGTTATAGATTTAGCTTTTGTGCTCAGTGATGACGTTTGGGGTGTCGTCATGCAGCCGTACAAGACTGACTAACATACTAGAAATTACATTGTCCTAAGAGCAAACATTTTTAAAGTAATGTGTGCTCTCTTTACTCAAACAAATAAACAAACATGTCCTTGTTTATCTGTCTAACTCAAAAATACACATTTGTTCTTTGTTGGTATGATATACCTTTTTCCAATACATTGTGTCATTGTGTCATCATTGTTATGTACAAGTAATATTTTTCATAATTGCTAATATAAATAAGTTTTCAACATATATTTCATACATGCAAGATTCATTTAGAAGCAAAATACGCCTTTATTGATCTGTGTATCTCTTATTAGTGCAAATGTGTTCTTTGTAGGCATGATTTTACCTTTTCCCAGTATGTTTTGTCATCACTGTTATGTACGAGTACTGTTTGTCATAATTAGCAACATAATTGTGATCGTCCACTGTCTTTGATATGACCTGATATCTGTTTCAAAGCAAAAGAAACCTCTCCTGGGTTTTTTTAAATTCTTAAAGTGCGCTTTTATCTCTGGAGGCAAGACTTTTGTCTTTTCCTGTACATTGTGTCATCATTGTTATTACAAAGTCTTGTTTGTCATCACTGTCATAATGTACAAGTCAGCTCCATTGATTTTGTGCTTTTGCCTCATATTAGTTAAAAAATTGTTTTACACATGTGTTTTTCTGGTACTGAGGCTTTGATAACTGTATTTGTACAGCCTTTCACTATTGTGATGTGTTGTCAATGATATCCAATGTGTATCCTTTCTTGTACATAACAATGATGACATGTTCTGTGCACTGCGTCATTGTTACAAAGCTTGTCATTCATATTACCATTATGAATGGAGTTCATAGTGTACAAAGTGTTTGTTTACTAAACAAATGGAATTTAAAGTCTATAATTTGCCTTGCTGCTTATCTGTTTTTGTCATCACTGTTACATACAAGAAATACAGTAGTTGCCAAACCAATAGACCCATATCTCCAAAACCGCACATCTCCTTGCTCTGATACTCTAGGAATATGAGCACTAAATGTCAATCTGTGACTGACAGAAAAGAGAGTCAAATTGGTAAGAAAATTTTTTTTGCACCACTGAGTCTCAAGTGTCTCAAGAGAGTCTCACGTTTTGGCAATTGCTCATATACATTTTGCTTGCATTTCCCCCTGCTCTCTCTCTTTCTCTCACACACACACAATACCGGGTCTGGGCGTTGAAACTTTCCGACATCACAAAAGAGTTCCCCTTTATTTCGGGTCTGTATACTTTGTGATTTTGTTCCCGGTTACCGGGTCTGTATACTACAGTATACACTTCGTTTTGGAATTGAAAGAATCGATTCTCATAATAAATTAAAAAAGTTACGGGGTTGCAAAGGTCGGCAGAATATGAATGACCCACATATAGGAAAATACTCCTAAAAAGAGGACCATGATGTCAACAGCAGATTCTGTAAGAAAATTGACGACATGATCTCAGTAATTAATTTAGCAGTGTTAGAAAGAAACGTGGCAACATACATAATAATATTAAACGTATTTTTATGTGGAGTCTGCAGTCAGATTTACATCTCTCGCCCTCCATTGTACTTGGTCGGACCACTTTGGGGATGGGGGGGGGGGGGGGTATCTAATCTAGCTCGCGAGCATCTCTCGCCCTCCATTGTAGGCTACTGTGCCAGACCACAGGGTGTTGGTGTCGGGGTGGGTGTACGTGTACGCCTAGCACAGACTGGCGTCTGCAGTTGGCAGTCGGAGGGTGAAAAAAGGATAGTGAGCAGGAGAGTGAGTAGGGGAGCCCAGGAAGGAAGAATATCGGACCACCAGGCACAAGGGGCGCCATAGCGAAAGTAGTCCCAACCGGCAGCAACCGGTGGTCCGGTAAAGTGCAATCTTACCAAAGACAGAGACAAACAAAGAAAAAGAAAAGGCGAGTGATACACAGAGACAGAGAGGAGAGGAGAGAGAGAGAGAGAGAGAGAGAGAGAGAGAGAGAGAGAGAGAGAGAGAGAGAGAGAGAGAGAGAGAGAGAGAGAGAGAGAGAGGAGATTATTAATGATTATAGCGGAGAGAGAGATAGCAGGGCAGAGAGAGAAAGAGAGAGAGATTTATAATGTGAGCAAGGGGTTCAAGTTGGAAGGACTCAGGACAAAGACAAAGTGCAGCCTAGATCTAGATCTAGATCTAGAATCTAGATGTAGACTAGATTCTGGATCTAGATCTAGATCTAGATTCTAAAATTGATAGACGACTGCGGTCAGAAAAACAGTAAAAGCTCAGAAGAAACAAACGTGGTAGGCCTACTTATTATCGATAACGGGTTCTCTTGATCCAGTATGCAAAATCCGTGGTCTTTCAAGAAGAAAATATTAAATTATTTACCCAGTCAATAACTGACGTCTTTCGTCATGAAGAAACTCTTCTATGTCCTGGACTCGGGACGCTCTCCATGACTTCTTTTTGTTTTTACCAAGTTTCCGATTCTTCGGCAACTTCGGTGCAGTGTTTATGTCAGCCATTTTGAAACACTTAAATTAAAAACATTAATTCATTTTGTCATGCAATTGTCGAGCTAAAATTACGATATGAACGTCGAACGAATGACGGTAGAAGGGACTTCACTCTGGAAGCCTGAGAAAGAAGGTCAGGTCAGTCTCTTCTCTTGGCTTTGCAGGCCTTGTCTCACAGAAACAGTTTACAACACTCACAATATTCACTTTTAGCTGCTGCACTAGATTCAGTGTCCTACACTGTAAGACACTTGGCACTGACACTTTTTTCTTTACTGGTGTTTAAATGCTGACTAGCCACTTGATGGTAATTGGCTGATCCCCATATAACTCAGTTTGCGTGTTACGGGGGAAATACGGGAACTGAAAGTGTGAAAGTGAAAGGTAAACTCTAAAGTCTAAAGTAAAAAAGTACTCTAGAACTAGAGTCTAGGTTTGGGTTTGGCCCTATTCGAACCTTTTGAGTACACAGGTCTCATTAGATCTTGATCTAGATCTAGAAGTTATTCAGGCAAGTCAGTAAGGCACCTTTTAGTTTTGTCTGAAATACAAATACTTTAGGCTTTGCAAACTAAAAATTTCATATTTTTACAATTCGGGCAATTTCAGCCATAAAGTACGGTTAGCCAAGAAGTCTAGATCTAGCCGTACTTATCTTATAGATCTAATGCCCTTTTAACTTTAGAAAACAGGAGGTTTAAAATACATGCGCTGTCATTAAGACACCTGGTTTCGTCTCAAATACAAAAATACTTTCGGTACTGCAAACTAAAAATTTATTTACAATTCAGTAGGCCTTTTTTATGGTCAGTCTAGCCGTCATATTAAGAATAAGTACGGATGTGTACGGCCCTCTATTTCACATAAAATAAGCTAGACTTTAAATTTAGCCGGCACAATTTTTAACCTTTAGATCTAGAATCTAGATCTAGTCCTCTTTGATTTTGGGGAAGAAATAGAAAGTTCTTTTTTTATTCCATTTATTCCAGATGAATTCGAGGTCAGTATGCATTACATGGTCCATGAGAAACTACCTCCAGAAAGCCCTATTGAACCAATCATCACACAAAGTGGGACTTCAGCTGGAAAGGTGAATCTTTTACTGATTTGTAAAGAGGTGTACCTCTGCACTGAGTGGTTTGTTAACCATTTGCCGAGATTCATGGTGTATAGTTGTAGCAATGCCCACCGAGCGCGTTTTGTTCTTCCGATTTTTGGCCCCCGCCGCGGGGGTGTTTCGTGGGACGAACTAACGCAAAGGTTGTTGTCTTCAACTCGCTCTCACACCGCTTCTCGTGAATGGATGAATGAAACTTGGCAGCCAATCAGAAAAGAGGTCAATCTAGTAGTATGCAGTTTGACAACTTTGTACTCATCCAAGAAGCAGTCGAAAACGTTTGCGAAAGTGGTTGATGTGGTGCGCTTTGAAGATTTTTCGGAGCTGTGATTTGTCAAACTGACTGATACGTTGTACACCATTTTTCTGTATTCCCTTAAAATTTCATGCTTCTATGTTTAGCGGTTTTGGCGTAATCTTTAAAAATGTGGGAGTAACTAAGGGAAAAGTGGCATTGCCATTTGCGCGTGCTGGGTGAACGACCGGCGGCTGGGAAATTTCCACTATCAGCCATCGGTCGCCTCGGGCGCTACGAACGAGGCCCCGCTTATGTGAACCGGAAGGGGGGGGGGGGGGGGGGGAAGGATACTTGAAAACTAAACGGGGGCCTTGATAACTTGCATTTGTTTTACATTTTAGTCGCAATACGATAGAGGTAGTCATTTTTATTTGCTTAAATAGCATGAGAGAAGAATAGAAACAGAAAATTAAACATCTAAGAAGTGGTATGACATTGTGTTTGCGTAATGAAAGCCTATTCCCCCCTCTTGGGAAAGCACACACTTGGACTCGTCCTGTGTGCTCTGTTTGGATAAGTGAAGCATTAAGAGATTGTTTTTAAAGAGTATGGTACTTTTTTAGTCCAGTCTGGGAAGATAGTCCCGTTTATTCATTATTATCATTCACGAGTGCGTGCGTGAGTGTGCGCGCGCGCGTGTGTGTGTGTATGTGTGCGTGCACGCTTGTGTGTGTGTGTGTGTGTGAGAGAGAGAGAGAGAAGGAGGGGGGGGGGGGGTAAATATCTGTTACATTTATAGTATGAGTTGTAGCCTACACATGCAAAATATTCTCAGAACTTGTAAACTATAATAATATTATCTAAACGCGTCTTAATCTACCACACAATAGGACACTGTCCAACAATGGATATATATGTATACAGAGACTATCTTAAATTTTCTATTACAAAGTGTGCATGCTTTTACTAGTAGAGAACTGGATTTATTAGACTAATAAATCCAGCTCTCTACTTAAATTTTTGTGACAAATTGATCCAGTGCGTTGCTTAGCAAGGAGGAATCTTTTACGTTGCCAAGTTTCATTCAAATGTCATGACTTTGGGAGAAGATCTGACTGATAATCTTTGTAAATCTGTAAAGAACACCACTTTTTTTACCTGCAAAAATGTCTTAACAACTCAAAAAGTAGGATAGCTATTAAAAATCTGACAGCATGACTAGATTCTGCATTAAAAACTGTACTAGAATGCCAAGTTTCATTTATATATACTCCAAGAAATAGGCGAGCTATGACAAATATTGTCTCAAAACACACCGAAAACCGCCACATTTTTATCTATAAACGTCTTCATAACTAAAAAAGTAGGATAGCTATGAGAAATCTGAAAGCAGGACTAGATTCTGCACTAGCAAATGTTCTGGGCTGCCAAGTTTCATTTAAATACTCCGAGAAATGAGTGAGTTATGACGAATATTGTCTCAAAACTCACCAAAGAACATCCCATATTATGTTTTTTTTTCACATATTTATAAAAGTCTATAAAAAATTAATTGATTAAAAAACTCGTAACTTTTTTGTTTATTAATGGATTTCAAAAATTCAAAAAGTTCCATTCTCTGTGGAGATACAGCTACAAAATGCACCTATTTGCAAACACTTTCTGACAAAAAAAGGTTTTTCGTGGTCATTGCTAATAGTTGTAAGCGGATTTGCATTCTTGTAATAGTAATTGAAGTCATGTCATTAAAGTCTTAAGACAGGACCTAACTCTTTTCCTGCCAGGCCAAAATCCACCATTGGCCCCTGCAGGGCTTTCCCCTGACATATTTTTACGCCCCTGCCCCACCAAAGAAAAACGTCAAACATCCAACTAAACACACACAAACCATATCATATGGCCTTTCAAACTGAAGGTTAAAAAATAATCTATCAGATTGTGATACAAAATATCGAAGATTTATTCCAATTATATTAGTTTGGGGTTTCTCAAAGTGATTATGCAATATCGAAGGTGTTATATGAAATCAACCATTTTCCTGATTTGAAAGGTCATATCCAAAAAAAGTGCAACAACAGCATCATTCAAACTACCCAGGTAGGTTGCCTCAAGTAATGCAAAGAAATGCTGAAAGTTATGCATGACGTGTACCTAATACAAAAGTGAAAATATGAGACATATACTGAAGTCAGGGGAACGCTTTTTTTCTCATTTTTACAATTTGAAGGGGACCAAAAAAAGCGCTGAGGTGACAAAAATTTGTCTCTCAGAGCTATATTTTCTTTCGTATCTGCTAACAGGAAGTCTATTCTATTATTTTGAAAACGTGGATCGACAGAGAATTTCTTGTCTTTTCCTTACTGGATTGGAATAGGTAGCGAGCAACCCAGCGGTAGGGAAAGTGTTAAGGAAATGCAGCTAACGACAGTGCTTTTAGAAAAACAGTCCTTTCTTTTGACTTTTTCGTCCATGACTAATAATTTTAATGTGTAATAATGACAGTAATGCTGCTTGTTTTACTCTACTAGGCTGCATCGTATTTGCACTTTTTGAAAGGCTGATGAAGAGTTTAAAAATACTGTGATGTTGTTTCATGGCCTGTTGACCATTGCATTGCATAAAATATATAGTGTTACAAAGGATGAACTTTTTTTTTTAGCTGTTGTTTATTGAAATAATGTTTTTTAGGTTGGGAAGTCATGGTAGTGGTAATCTTCGTAATGTACACACTTGTGCTTTGATAATGTTCTTTCATGCATTCTTCTTTTATAATGTCCTCAGGAGATTACTTTCAACTCCATCAAAATGGCATGGCCTGTTTGAACCAAGTGATTTGGTATGAAATGTGTAAAAATATTTTGATTTATTTTTTTCTTTTCATTTGAACTGAATGAGTTGCATGTAAGCATATAGATTGTTTTGTTTTTATAAGTTGTACAGAAAGTGCAGAAATGTGGAAGTAGCATTTTATGAATTGTGGATGTCTGTAAAGTTGGCATGCAGAAACATTGATAGTAGGCTATGTTTACTAGTTTGACACGTGGTGATGCAATCTAGGATGTTATATATTCTTGCACCCCATTACATATCCAATTTCCTCCCACACCTGTAACCATCAGTGTATTTTTCTAGTTTTGTATAAATCCAAATTTTTGACTATCCCCGTCCTTGGCATTATGGTCAGGTGACCCGCAGCAAAAAACTGGACAAAAATTCAGTCTTGTCTTTTGACATTTAACACTTTGCCATCACAAGACTTATACAATATAGTAATTACTAATAACCCTTACCATCAAAGACAAAGGCTCTTTGGGGAAAATCCAAAGAAACTGGGTGGTAAACACATCGTCGATCGGCAAGATGTGACGGCAAAGTGTTCCAATGAATTGTGTTTCTGTGTCTTTCTTCTTTGTTTTTATTCTTTTAAAAAAATCATTGTCATATTGTTTGAAGTGGCCGTTGTCTTAGCTTAGAGTGTTATTAATCCCCTTACTTGAACTTTTAAGAACACTGTAAAGTCTTTGGGGTTTTTTTTTCCTATTCTTATCAATCTTCTTGGGAATGTAAAAACATTTTTCCTCGATCTCTTTTGTAAGAAGACAGTTAATTTTCCAAATAATGTACTTTATAATGTTGGATTTTTTTTTCTTCAGAAATTGGAACCAGATATTCCTGAGTTCAAGGCCCTACATATTCGAATGAGAGGTTATGACTTTCCAATTTTGGAGTCATATGCAAAGCGTGTGCACAGTATCTTGGACACTATGTTCGAACTTGATACAGATGCGTATGTATGATTCCAGTCTTTCTGTTGAAATTGTAGTATGTTTATTAAAGAAGAATTAAATTGTAGGATTTATTATATCTTAGGGATTTTATTCGTTTGCAGTTGTTTGTGCCTGACATTGACTTCTTATAAATATCACATTTTTCTTGTCAATGAAAAGTGCACTTTAAGGAATTATTAGAAGACATGATGGTATAATGTTGACATTAATTGTTACACTGTCTCTTCGTGAAGTGTAATTTGGCAAAGACAGCAACATGAATGATCATTCTGCCAAATTGTTTTTAATGTTTTTATGAATTAAGAAACCGTAAGAAAGATTAAGTCATTGAAAATGGGAAATTGACATGTCAGTCTTTCAACTTTGTCCACTTCTTTTGTTAGTGTAAGAATACATTGTGGAACTCATTATTTTTACAAGATACAGACCCATTCTACGAACGGTGATATAGTGATAGGAAATCCCAAGGTAAAATGTTTGTGCCTGATTCATTGCCGTAGGACCTCTGTGTAGACGACATTGCTGGTATATGCGCCATCTGGAACTTCGTCCTGGGCAGCAGGTCTGTTTGCATGTATTCTAATAGAGTACCTGGACCCATCACCCCTGCTGGTGGGGGTCCCATAGTTTTACTATGGGGGAGCAAAGAATACACCTGCCGTGATACTGCTTGCCGTAAGAGGCGACTAAAAGTGCATAGGTCTGGTCGCCAGAAAGTAGGGCTGGATTCTGCTCGGTTAATCGAAGGCTTGTAAAGCAGCGGAAGTCTTGCGCTAGAGTCTTGCGAGCAGGCTTGTTGTTTGATTTGCCTCCTGCTTGCTACCGGAGGGAACTTCCGGTGAGTTGTGACTCGCGGACAGTCCTACTGTACTGTGTCGTGACGTCGCGAACTCTCGTGGCAGTGGGCTCAGTACATATTATAGATTCTCTGGTGATTTGCGTTGAGAGGCTTGCACCAAAAGTGCAAGATCGGTTGGGGTTTTTTCATAGTTCGGTTGTAAAAAACAAAAAGCTCTATTCAATGCACTTAAAAATTAATATTGGATCTGCTATTCTTATGATGTTAAGGCCTGTTTATTTTTAATGTGCACGAGCCAAGCGCTTCATCGTCGCACGCAAAAGACCTCAGTTCGATTCCCGTATGGTGAGAAATTTTTACTGAGAACCTCCTTCTTTCTGCTGGGGCGTTGTTCCCTCTCAGCCCAGGTTGGCCCTGACATTGGGTTGAAGTAGGCCTAGCCCGTCTCCTAAATGTTCTGTATTATGTCACTGTGAGTGTAACACATCTACAAAATAGGTTACATACATAATACATACAATACAAAAGCCAATCACAACGACCCCTGGAGTTTTTCATTTTAGGGTAATCTAAGTCAACTTATTCTTATTACTACCAGAAACCTAGGTCTCTGTTACTACAATACCACGCTCCCTCTCACTTATCCATTCGCTTAACAGATCAACGGCGGGAAGTTAAAAATAACTTCAGCTCTCTACGCCTTGCACCAAAACAAGCCCTGCCTCTCCCTTCCTCCACGGTTCAAAGTTCACATAGCGAACAGTACTGTCTTGCTGTTTGAACACATCGGACTGTCTTTTCGCCATCAAGACGGTCCTACGCCATCGAGCCTGTGCCCCTCGCTCGGTGTATCGAGACAGTACAAGTCAGCAGGTCAGGTTTGGAGCTTGTCCTGGGGCAAATCTCTAAGCCTAGCGCAAATCAGTACTGTGTGAATTGTGGGGCCTGTGGCAGCGGACGGGACTTGAGGCTTGCGCAGGCCTCCGATTAATCGAATAAACTACAGCGCCACGCCGCGCAGTGACTCTGTGGGCGAGATCTCTCACTCTCCCCCTCTCTCTTTTTTTGACGTAAGTGGCTTCGCGGATTGCAAGCAGGGTGGGGATGATGAGGGGGCCTGACACGAGTGGCTTCGCGGATTGCTAGTTGCTGTGGACTTGAAGTTTAGACTAGACCAAGGAGGTTACAGTTTGCGCTAGACTCAACTTATCATGCTGGTGATTTGATTTGATGATTTGACCTAGTGATTTGAGGCTTGTGACTTGAACTAGGGGCTTGTGAGCACGAGCGGATTTGCTACCGGGGTACAGCCCTACCAGAAAAGTGCCAGTTTGCGGAGGGCCAACTACCCAACCCAGTAAAAAAACTGTAAGTTACAGAAACACGGATAAACACAGCTTTTTATTTTTCGATCTTGGGAGAGGGAGGAGCTTCTGCATCAACAGGAACAATGAAGGACAGCGGACAAAGCCCAAAGGGTACAGAAAAATAGAAAGATATGGAATAACATCAAGAGGCTAGCCCAGGATAGAGAAAGGTGGAAGGTGTTTGTGCATGGCCTATACAGAGGTGCAGGGTGAGAAAGCATTGATGACCTGGACCCAACACAACATTGCGACATACAATTGTCTATGTGAAATATAATCGCCCTGTAAAGAAACCCCTATCCTTTTCAAAGTCCCTGAGTTTTATTGGCTGTCATTGCAAAAGCAGGTCTAAACGAAAATTGTTTCCGTCGCACATGGAAGGGAAATAATATGTTGTCTGAAGGCATGAGGTGAATCCTTGGGATGAAGAGTCTTTTTCGGGCATGTGGACCGCAAGCGACGACAGCATCAATTAGGTGTTGATGAAGGTGTTGGACAACATATCAAGTCCCAAATTTTCAAAACATCAATACATTGTACAACGAAGTAAACGTTTTGTGGGTTTCAACGAACTCAACATGTTGAGGACATCAGTACACCGAATGTATCTACAAAAAGACAATACAATGAAGTTTGTGTTGAAGTTTACACTGACACTGGGAAGCACACATCCAAACAGAGTTGGATATCGAGATTCTAGATCTGGAAATAGTAAAAGCAGGTGTCTCACACACACAACGAAGCGCAAACCGAAACGGAAGTAGTCCCCAGTATAATATGAAATGGCTAATGGCAGAGTGAAAACATCTGAGAGCTTAAGATTTACAGGAAAAACCATCAAACCTGAAAAATCGAAAGTTAGTTTCCGAACTTGAAAAATATGCCCCCTTAACCCTTTGTGACAATTCTTAACTGAATCATATTTTTGTAGATTTTATGGGCACCTTTGTCAAAAATATATACTGACCTCACAAACGGGCTTAGCTCCATTATAATAAAAAGTCTGCTTTACTGTTGACTTTGTCCTATTTCAGGAAGGTGGTGTGAAAGGATTTGAGCTTGATTTTTCCATTGGAAAGCATTACAGTCAAACTTGCGATGACGGCCACCTCTATAAGACAGCCACCTGTACAAACGGCTACTTTCCATTTATCCCTGCGCTTTTATTATATAATTTTACTATGTAAAACGGTCACCTGTCCAACGCAGCCGCGGCCACCTTATTTTATCAACCCACATTCAATTTTACCTGTTTAAGACGGCCAAGCGTGATCTCGCATCACCCGACGCTTTGTCATAATCCATTCACCTGTCATTATTGTTAATCCCTCCAATGAATGTTTACCCAAGTTGACCCGTGTGTAACAATACATTTTCAACTTCTGGTGAGGGAAGCGCTCGATACATCATAACCTATAAGCCCCGCCCACAACTTATACGCACAAATCGTTTGTGAGGTGACTGATCACAGTTTTGTTTACCTAATCTGTAACAAAGTAGCAATGGACATTGACGTGAACTTGCGACAGAAGCGTCGCTCGTTCTCAGAGTGGTGGCAACCTGTATGTTTGTTTTACCATGACACTCAGTCTTCATCGTCTTACTTACATAATATTTCAGGGTTTTTTTACCCTTTCACAAAATCAGCAACCAAAAGAAAGCTAACCAAAATAAAAGAAATAAAAAAGAGCAACAAAACAACAACACAAAAAATCCTTCTTACACCCGCCCCCCCCCCCACTTTTTTTTTCAAGAGAAAATAAAAACCCTTTTGAATTCGCCTTACGGCAGTCTAAAGCCTGAGATCAGTCCCGGTTTGCCGGACATCAGAAGAGAATGATTTGCTTTCTTCACTTTGATCAGTCCTGCCTAAGACGGCCACCTGTGTTAAATGGACACTTTTCTCCTTGACATTGGGTGGCCGTTTTACACAGGTTCGACTGTATTTTTTTAAATTCATTTTTAGTTAGTGGCTTGCAGAATGCATACATTTTTTCTCTACACACGCTGAGTGCTTTAACATGCTTACTGCATAAACTCTTTTTCTTCACATGCTGACTACACAAACTCTTTCTCTTCACATGCTGACTACATAAACTCTTTCTCTGCTCACAGATTTCCAGCTCCTAGCAAGTCCACAGAGGTGCGAACTTTCCACCCTCGATCTACGGCTGTAGCTGACAAATATCAGCTGAACAAATATGAGAGGACTGTAATGGTAAAGAGTTGTATGTGAGATTGTGTGCATATCTGGGAGTTGTGTGTATGTTTGTATATATCTATGTGTGTGTTTGTGTGTGTCAGTGTGCGTGTGTCGTTAAATGGTGTCACACTCAGAATGTGCAGTTTCTGTCCTTTGATTTGTTGGTTAAGTTGAGTGATAATTCTACATTGTACAGTGCTTTGAGCTTTGTAAGGATTAGGAGCCATATACATTTCTGTCATCACTATTGTTATTATCTTTTTAATTGTTAGTTGTAGTATTTTATTTCAGTTAATGTTACATTAATTGCCACATTGCTATTGCTTTGCTTAGTCTGTCAGTGTGTGTTGACGAATTATAGTCTACAGTGAGTAAACACAACCACTGCTTGATTTCTGAAGAATTAGCTTATAATGATGATAGCACTTTAAAAAAAAATATTCAGGAAAGGAACAGGCAGGCCCCTCTTAATTGCTGGCCAACCAGAATTCTTTATTGATTTAAATTAATTGTCAGCTATGCAATATAATGTTTTACATTGACAGGCAGAGGATGTTCCCACAACTACAGTTCCCCTGATTGTACAGTTTTTAAGGAAGAATTGTCCAGAAGGCGTGGATGTAGCTGTGAAAGAGGTAAACGCCGTACATTATTTTTTGTTGTGATTTTGCAAGATTTACAGCACTGTTTGACTAAGTAGTCTACCTTTGTGTAATGTTTAAAGCTAGAAAGAACTTGTATGCCTTATGTATTCTTTGTATCAGCTAAAAGCAGAACATAAGTGAATGCAGTGCATGCCGTTAACCCTCTTAACTCACTGACTACTGGCCTCTTTCACCAGTCACTAGCTCTGAGTACTGGCATTTTTGGGGGTATTTCAAAACACCACCACAACTCTCAGAATTACCCTATTGTGATTATTTTTTGACCCAGTAAAGTTAATTTCAAACTTAATCTATTCCAAAAAATTTAAGTCGTCTAGGTCTAATAAATACTTTAATTCTTATGATTGTTTCAAAATTGGTTAGAATTTGATTTTCCGAAAAATGTACAGAGACGTGACAGATAGAATGAAATTCACAACAACAAAAATAAAAGTTCAAAGTGTTCTGTTTTGATTTGTATCCATGTGTGAGTGTTTGATGAAAATACAAAGGCCGGTCTGTGCGTTTATTCAGACCCATACACTGAATTACATGAGACAGATGTAGGGAACGAAGTTGTGATTTCGTCACGCAAACAACAACTCCAGTATTTGTGCTAGATCTAACCCTAAAACTACTACTCGGGCCGTGTTTGGGTACATATCCAGGGTCCTAACTAACAGACACATCATATCCTGAGTCACTAGAACTAGCAAAACAAACAGGAGTATCGAAAACAACGAAATTATGTGATTCTTGTTCATGCGACCGTTACTTTGACGCGACTGTCGGATTACTATCAGCTGTATAGAAAAAAACATAACGCGAGTTCCGGTGAGGTCAACCCCAGATGAAGTGACTGTTCTTCACCTTCAATTACTTAAAAAGTTATTACAAAACTTCCGCCAAACTCGGCACGAAACGAAACAAATGGCAAAACTAGCACTGGAGTCTGTTCCCGTACATGTGACGGGAGCACAAGATACGGAACAAAATCGCAAAGTCCATCCCGTCGTGGGTACGGGATCCGTACCTACGAACCGACCGCCCGCCCCGTACCTGTGACGGGAACCGTGGTCAGTGAGTTAATGCTATCAGCGCAGATCTATGTAAATGGGGTCATAGACTTATCAGCTTTCTGCACATTTACTAGGTAGTGTAAACACGGCCTCGCGGGCACTCGCGGCCTTCCGACCGCGTGGTATCGGTAAAATCAGGTTAATTCCGATCGCTGTTTCTTTGCTCTTTCGCTATAAAACACCAAATGCCGTATACCTTGTAAAAGTTCAACTTTTCCTCGTTACAATGGTGTAAGTTGTTTATATGTCCGATTATTAGGAGCTGGAGAATCGCCGACGAAAGCGAAGCCCCTCGCGGTCGGAATGCGAGGTCGGCCGTTTGAAAAATTGACACGCGTGCATTCAAATGCTTCGCGGAATGAGGGATGATTAAATACCGTCTTTTCATTGGCGGAGAACTGTAGAGCTTTAAACGGGCTTTCCCGTGATATAAGTTTAGCCTTTGGCGTCGTTATAGAAAGCTTTTAAAAATACCGTCAAAATGTTTAAAGATCATTTTTTACACAAAATATGTAAAATACCGGCTTATAAAAGGTATTAATTAAAAGATCAGTTCATTTCCTATTAGAATAAAGTAATTAATTTGGAATTATTTTACATCAATCCTTCCGCGAGACTCAGAAAGCATGTGACCCCGCACGCGGGGTACACTACAGTATAAGCCGACTCGCTCGCTGCGGGGGTCGGTGCGGCGGCGGCCGGGTCAACGCTCAGTGTTTTTGTCGAAATAACGACAGATCATCGTGTTTGAAGTGATAAAATACTAATTTGTAAAGATCTCACAGTCTTGAAAAAAATTAGGCTCCATATATTTGTTATAGTGATTGTACTCTGTTAATGTGGAGATGTTTAGTGCACTTGGTACTTTTTTATTGTCTGTCAAACATGGGGTTGCAGCCAGTGACTGACTTTAACAAATTTGATCAAATTTTAAACAACTACAATTTTCTTAAAAATTGACGGAGAGGTTAAAGAATGGTACCAAAATGCTCAGTGGATATAGGCCTTTCAAATGGAACAGATAAATTTGGCATACAGCTAGTTTGAAAATTTAGTTTCTGGTACCTACATTTACCAACAAGATCTGCTTATCTGTGAGAAAGCATGTTGGTGGTTTGTGTATGTCTCCAACTTTGTTATGGTTATATTTATAAAGCACTTTCATTGAGTAGATCTATATTGAGTATCCAGGGTTCCCACGGGTCTTGGAAAACTCTTGGAATATTGTTTTTATTTTCTAAGACATGGAAAACTCTTGAGATTTTGGGAAGTTAGCAAAATTCTTTGAAAAGTGTTGGAAAAACAAATTTTTTACTAGATCTATAGTCAAAATATTTCCTTGAGGTTTAGAAGGCCTTGACTTTACGCAGTCTAAAGTATACCACATGTATTTTGCTTGCTGAAGGAAAATGTTTCTTCCAAATTGACACGTTATTTGTCTTGGAAAATGGAAATCTGTTTTTGAAAACTCTTGAAAAAGTCTTGGGGGAAAAAATCTCAAACTCATTTTCTAGTGAAAATTTTTCTTAGCATTGATATCGACAGACAGAGTTGACCCATTTCTCTCTTTTCCATTACACTTTGATCAGTACCTTTGTAGTGCAGTCAGTTTCTCTACCCCCCGAAGGGTTGCTACTGACTGAAGTGTCTCTAGGCCATTCCCAACGGGAGGACATTAACATGTTCTTTTGCTCAGTCGAATTGTAAATGGGCTGATTCATCAATGTCATGCTCATAACTGTGCCTGAACTGCATATGGAGAACTGCTGCTTTTTCTTTCCTTATCCTTACTATCGTCATTTTTCCTCTACTTCTTTTGAATGTTTTTCACTCTCTTGTGACCCACTATTTCCGGGGTGCCTTGATAGTCGAAGCAGACTTTGTGCTGATAACTAGAGAGTTGAGAAATGTAAGCCTGACTCCCTGTGTGGACTTCTCTGTTGACATCCACCCCTTGGCGCTCATATGACCATATGCAGTTGCGAGCGCCGTAAGAACTCTACTAAACTAAAAAGTCAGTTTCTCTAGTTAAAATAGAATATGTTGTACTAGGTGACCACTTCAACACCAGCTAGGTTTTAGATTATTTTAAAGAAATAGCATTTGTCTACGGGTACCTGACAGGTGTGGGACTGTGCAGAGAAGAAAAATGTCTCTGTAGTCGATGTCAGACTGGGGATTTAAGACCTTTCAGTAGACAATGCTCAGCTCTCATGAGTGATGAATGAAAACAACATAGTTGTGATGGACAGCTTTGCATGCCAAGGTCCAGAACAATGTTGGGTGAAAGGGCTTTTTCCATCTGTGCCCCAAAACTTTGGAACAGTTTGGGTTTAGATGTTAAAATGTTTCTTTCAATTGATCAATTAAATTAAAGTTGAAGACAATGTTTTTCAGGAAAGTAAATTTATAATATAATGCTGGAACTCTATATCTGAAATATCTGTTTAAAAAAAAAAAAAGTAATTTACGCATGTCGTAGTGGTACTGAGCTTTAGTGCTTTTGTGGGGGTGTGTGTGGGGGTGTTTTGTAAGCGCTGCCAAGCACTTTTTGTGGATTCTGGCGCGTTATAAATTTATATATTATTATTATTAAATGAAATCCATAAAAGTTTTTTCTCGTACGAATTTTGAGAAAAATGCTATTCTTTTATTAGGATGTTTTGAACACTCTTGTTCCGATTGTTTGTTCGTCTTTTCTTTGTCAGAAAAGTATTCTATTTTCTTTTAAAGTAGCTTCTGAACCTACCCCAGTATGATTTTCCTATTTGTTTGACCATCTATGGAGAAAAGTAGTGTATGCATAGGTTCTCAGAGATGCCAACCAGTACGATTTTACGTATTTTAGTACGATTTTTTGCCGAAAATACGCGAATACGACTTTTCATGAAAAAATACTCATCCTGGAAAGCGAAAAATACGAGATCCAGTTTTGGCGAGTAAACCTAATTACTCAAGTCTCCTCTTTTGTCAAAATAGTATCAGTATCACGGAACTGAAATATTTGAAGACCAAGTCCGATAAGGTCAGTTAGTTCATTTTTGCCGGTCGCGATTGTGGTATTATATTCGTTTAGCTTTTCCTCCTCCGAGAGTACGTTTCACTTTCACGCGAACAGGCGGCTATGGCGGCAGACGGAAGTGTATGTGACACCGCGGCTTGATCGGGAAAATCAAGATCTACTTTCGCTTTCGTTACCACCGAGAAGTTTGCCAACTGTAGACTGATAACGCAACTTATTTGTGACATTTAGGTTGTGCAGTGTAAATGCTGTGTTGCCGTGCAAATAAAATTTCTCGAACTCGTCTCTGTGCTGTCACTTTTTGGAAAGAAAAGAGAATACAAGCGTCGTCCGATTTTTAGATTGTTGGGCTCGCCATCGTGACCGGTCAATGAACCTGCGCGCATTCGCATCACAAATAAATGCGGCATCGTGTTAGCAAAGACCGTGTTTGGTGGGAGTAACGGCGTTGCCAAGTATAGGACTACAGGAGGGGATTATTTGATATTTTTTTTTTATACACTCGAGGGGGAGCGGGGAGGGAGGAGGTGTGAAGGCAAGACCAGAGGACAAAAACTTGGAGGCAAATTTCAGAATTTTGATTAGAGCTCTCTGCAAAGTGCGCGTTGGTGCAGGCCGTGTGCGGAATCGGGACCCTTCATACTTTGCAAGTCTGTGTAATTGAAATAAAATGTTCGCGTGTCATTAGATGGGTGATAGTTAATTATACCTACTGTGTATGTTGTAGCTTTCTGTTCAAGAAGGGCAGATTTTCAGTGTCACTGCATCTTGCCCTCCCACAGTTGTTACAACTCTCACAGTGCACGAGTCTACTTGAGCCCTTCAAGTTATTGCTCTTCTCTGAGTTTGAGCAATAATTTTAGCCTGTCAGTTCATAATATGAATCATGACAACCAGACTGGTTCTTGATAGTCGAAATTCTTGTTCTAGGCCCTTCCGAACGCTCAAAACAGGATTGATTTTTTATGATAATAATAATGAGAGGAAAATATTATAACAGACTGAAATACTTAAGTCAAACAAGACCCCAGTACGACACTGAACACTGACATGTTGTTGACTGGATTCGTGTTTATTGTATGCGTGTGTGCTCCCTTTTTCGAGCTGGTGAGCTAGTAAATTTTTTTCAGGAAATATTACTGGACACCCTGAACATTTTACTGGTTAGTCGGTTGGTCGAAGAGAATACACATTTTCCCCTGAAAATACACATTTTCATATTTCCCAATACTCATTTCGGTTTTCTGTGGTTGGCATCTCTGGGTAAAGCTTTACTTTTTGTTCCTGTTGCCTGTGTTCCTTATTCAAAGCACTTTTTTTTTCTAGTTGTTTGAAATATTAACTGTCTGCCACGTTATTTCGCTCTTCCTGTCATGGCAATTCCACAACTTTACTCCACAGCCCGACACAGATGAGGAAGAGTTCCGCTTTGTCCCAGATTATGAAGTCAACGATTTACTGGCTGAGAAGGCTGCAATAGAAGCTGGCAAACTGAGAAAGAAATAATGTATATCGTCTTGAGCTTGTGTTGACTTGTGAGTGCTTGAAAAGTCAAATAAATGAATGTGAAGATAATTGTTTCAAAATAGTTTGTTGCTTTCTTTATTCAGATATGAAATCACCTAAAGGAATGACAATAGATGAAAACTCTATGCAGCCACTTAAATTCAAATCATTGTGAATTCAGTAGAGTAGTGAACAACCTGGTGTCCTTAGACTGCACACTTTGCCAAGTTTCTTTCACCTGAAGCCAAACATTCCTGAACAAGCCATGCTTTCTTTTTAGTTTTTAGGTAGAAGTTGAAGTGGCTACCAAACAACTCCTGGGTGGAGTAAAGTCATACACAAAGTGTCAATTGTTTAACTGCAAGACATTAAAATTAAGGGTGAGGGTATGCTATTTGTATTATGTATGCTGTTACGTAACACAAGAGAAATTATGAGACATGCTCTTGGAATTAAAGGTGTTTTTTTAAACCTAGAATGGTAAGCTGCAACAAACTAGGTTAGGAAAAACCTAAAATTGGCCTTTCCAACTTCAACCAGTCTTTTGCTTCTCCGAGGACAATGAGCTCCCTTTAAACACCAGTTTGGGAAGGCATGGAGTTTGTTTGCAAAGCTAAAAAAAAAAACCTCCATAAAAAATGAATACATAATCAATTTCAAAACACAGCAACTACTACTTTTTCCTTTGACTTTATTAAAATGTGAAAATCATATTATACACTCTTTCAGTTCAATACAAGAAAATGGTACATTGTGCATTCATACAATAATATTTAATGATTGCAAGTGGACACTGTCTTGAAATTAACAAGACAAAGCTGCCTATCAACGGAAGGTTTTCAATATAGGCAACAACTTTCACTATGGCAGTGGAATGTGTCATTGTTACAGAAGATCACTGCATACACATTATTGTACAAAGGAAAATGTAACGGTCGCCTTGTCCTCCCTTTCAACACTCACTACTAACCAAGCCTTTTATAGGTACACACTGTAGAGTGTGGAGATTCATTATCAGGTCAAATACACACGTCACAGGATTCTATGCCAGTTGAAATTGTAACAGCATATATTCTTCTTGCATCAAATCAATGATCTTGAGGGATCATTATCAACTCACATAATTCTACTCCAACTGCTGAAGAGCTGAAGAGTTGATATTACCAATAATAGTCCCTGCAACTCTAGCCAGTTTGGCTTTTTGGTCTCATTTTTAGTCTTAGCTCACAACAGGTCAGGAAATATTAATTCGACAGCAGTAGCTCATCTGACATTGAAAACTTTTGCCAGTTACATGATATTGTCTTAGAAGATTTTTTTTTATCCTACTTACATTTTTTTGGAACAATTTTGAACATCAAAGTCTGCTATCTCTGCTGGACCAGGTGTTGTGAGATCTAGGCCTAGCCCAGTTACTTTATCTAAAGAAAAGTACAGACCAGCGTGAACATAGTGAAATCGGTGGGACACGGAAATCTTTTCTAAATGTAAGAATTCCGCTATGCAGATGTTTTAAAACTACAAAGAATACAGTTTAAGAAAAAAATTTGGACCTGGAAGTTGGTTCACTATGAGCACATTTTGTTATGTGATTGCTAGACTAGATCTAGGTCCACACGATTCTGGCCTGCATTGTGCAGACAAGCCTTGATGTGTTTTTCTTTGTAAACAAAGCTTTCCCATTCTCACCGTAAAATAACATTCCCTTTTTAGCTCAAGTTTGTGGAGATTAAATTAAATAATGCAAAATTGCTTGCTTAATTTTACATGTTATTCTCTTTTACTTATGTTTACTTTCACAAACAAGCTTTTTCGTCTCTTCTGGTATCATATATGCATATAACGAACAGTGTATGCAAAGTTTCTCACAGATCTATGGCTATGTAAAATAATACCTTTCGTCAGCTGTCAAAATGCACTAAGCCTAAAATTCGGAGAAAAAAGAATTATTGTAGTTTCGTAATATGTGATGCAATAGTCTCCGCCTAAGATCCCAGTGCTTGGGAGCAAAGAAATGCAGGATCTTAGGCGAACAAGGATCTTAGCTGATGAACCCAGGGGAAAATCTATGGTGACCCATGTTAAGGCTCACAACTGGTAAAATGGTCTCCCTCTACTCTAAAATGAACTGACATGACCCCTGGGTGGGTTTATCATCATGGCGAGCAAAGATATCAATGCATGTGCTCAAATATTTTGTCAAAATTCAAATTCTAAATGTTGAAAAAAGCAAGTAAAAATATATATTTACGGTACAATTGTTAAAATAATTCAACAGTTTTTTCTCTCTCCTGAGAAATTTTGCTATCAGGCCTTGGAACATTTCAACAGCTTGTTGACGATTTGTGTTGCTTCAGTTTGACATTGGTTGAAATGTTGTCTCTCTTACAAAGACATTACTGTCCCCATCCCAGGGACACCTTTGTTCTCCCTGACAAATATATATAAGCAGTAAGCATGAGAATCTTGGGAATACTGCCAAGCTTGTGATCAAAAATGGCTTTTAAGTTTAAAGAGTACCATTATCTCTTGCACCTGGAACATCCTTTATTAAAACCACTTTTTTCCTCCTGAAACTTCACATAATCTCAACAAATCTCAACTTCCAAAATTCATGGAAATTAACTGCATATATATGAGAAAGACTAATTGTTCTATAATAAATGTCTTCCAGCCTGAGATAGTAAGAGACACTCAGACAATGCCAAAATGAATGACTTTCACATTGCCTCCACCAGTCCCTCCTCCATCATCTTCATCCTCTCTTTTGGCTCCATTCCTATCTGCAGCTGCTGCTCCACCTTTTAAAAAAGACACAATGAAGACACTATTGAATATATGAAAAGGGAGTGGGAGGATTTGGGTAAAACGAAGTCATGAGAACTTTTTTGGGGCGTTCATCATGTTAATAATCATAGTATGGCAGATTTGTCAGTCAATGTCTTTTCAACAAAGAGTAGATTTAAAGCATTTTCACAATCGAGATCAACTATGAGTAAATAGACATTGTTTTTGTTCTTTATTTGTACATATATAATGAAAAATTTTTAAATAAGAATGAGTAAACATGAAACATGCATTGAAAAGACACCCCATACACACCAAAGAGTAAAATAAAACAAAAATAAATGCAAAGACACCTAAGCATTGCAGAGTGGTCTCTTGTCTACTTTTGAACAGACTTCATTAACAGCTTCACCCTGTTAATAACATTCAATCTAAAGAAGTCAGCCTGCGCAGGATGTGATGTACGAGATCATTTTTTTATAAGACCACAGCAAAGAAAATAAAAAAAGTTGAAAAATCACAAGCCTATTACCTTGTGCACCCGGTAAACTTGGCTCCATGAGAGCAGCTGTATAGTCACTAATGAGTTCATCTTGGAGGTTGAGCTCACTCATAGTAGACAGTCCTCTGTGCACACGTTTGAAAAAAAAAAAGCTCTGATCAATGTCAACAATACATTTTATCATGGCAAACAAAACAAAATTCATATAATTTCAACTGAAAAGGTTTCTATTGTGTGATGGTTTTGGTTAAACTCATTGTCATTGCAAAAAATGATCCGAGTTTGATTCATATGCTGAAGAAAAGTATTTCAAAAAGCATTAGTATCTCCATTTCTCTTGTATTAAAATCCAGTTTCCAACTTGTTACAGTTTTTGTCATAGCTGTCAAATGAGTTACAAAATCTTCCCTTTGAACCAAAAATTATTACTGTTAATGCTCTTGTTCCGTAGAATTTTAGCTTCATTTTGTGCTATTCCCTGTTTTCGTGTCTGGACGTAAGTGCTTGGAAAATAACTGACGTCAAAACCAGAAATAACAGAGTTAGTCCAATATAGCAGTCTCAATATACAGAGAGAAGAAAGTCCACAAGCTATTGGATTGCTAACAACAATAACAACCCTGCAGAAGTCTGACAACAGTTTGATTCTGTGGGGGAAGCCTATTTCATGGAGTACCTGTGTTTCTCTGCCAGGGTGCTCTATCTCACTCAGCACAGGTTGGCCTGTCAAGCAGGGTCAAAATACCTCACCTGAATAATCTACATTGAATTGATGAGGTTATTATTAAATATTTACAATCAATCAGTCCTACCCATTGGCAAAATGTGCATCAATACTGGCTTCTGACAGCTCCCTTAGACGCCTGGACTCTTCAGTTTCCACAGAGTAGCTCTCTTGTTGCCATGTCATCTGGCCTGGCATTGGCACCTGAACAACACCGAAAATATGTACTGTTCAGATATTGAGTTAGCAATGTTATTCAGTCTAGCGTGCGTATTGCAAAATCAGCAAGAGAAAGAACATCTTTTTGTTATGAACTAATTTCATTATATACAGTACATGTTTTATGAAGAAAAAAAAATTTAACAACAAATCCAGGTCCTGGAAATCTGTCTGCTATAGGCGTGTTTGCTATACTATGTACGTGCTAGATTGCATGTATGTAGATTAAGGCACACAATCCACAGCCCAATTTACAAGATTTGCGATCTCTCAAGAAGACATATATATCACTGTTTGTATGACAAAAGTATTTGGAGAAAATGATTCTACAAAGTACACGTCTGTGGCTCAGAAACAACATGTATGAATTTAACACTTCTTTCAACAGTTTAAGAGTGCATACTGTTCAATCAGGGCTGTGCCAAGGGTAAAGTTGTTCCCGCATCCGATCCGGACATTGAGGATAGCCTTGTTAGTGAGACAACTTCCTGGGCCTTCAGTATATTGTGGTAGGGTGGCCAGTTCCTTTCCACGCTGCCTTAACTTTCCCAACTCGAAGTCAGGTACCCATTACTGCTGAGTGGGCAGAAGTGGGCAAAAAAAATGCGTGTCTGAACCGAGGCTCGAACCCAGACATTCCGCTTCGGAGATGAAGGCACTAACCGCACTGCCACCGCACCCTATGTGCCAAGGGTAGCAGCTTCAAATGTAAGCAAGCACTTTGAGCAACCATAATTTGTTCTTCTTTTATACTCACACCAAGACGTCATGTTCAGAACATGTCATTTTTATTATTGATTTTTTTTTTAAACTGCTCATGTTAGTCACACCTTTCTTATACATTGTAATGAAAACTTGGATCCAACTAATTTGAAAGTATGACCCAACAAACTTTGTAAGAGGCAAGTTTCACTGTATCAAATGAGATTTAACATATGTCCTTTGTGGCAAAAAACCGGGAGATCAAGTTTAAGAGAAACAAACCGACAAAACATTGATAGGACAATAGGTATCAGAATTAGAAACCTGAAAAAATATTTTTTAAACTTAAAGGATCACTCTCAGGAACTTGTGGTAACTTACACCTGCATGAGGTATGATGATTCACCTGCTACAACAAAACTTTGCACTTTCATTTCAACAAGACTGGTTTGTAGAAGGGTTTTATTGATGGGTCCTAGTCCTGTACTTTCCCTCTGGTTTCTATCTATTTTGTTTTCTCCCAGCAGTAAAATGTCATAATTAGCGTGTCAATGTGCAAGTTCTAGGTAATTATGTGCTACAGGCCTGCCCATAGCTCAAGGTATTTAGAAGGAAATATTGGCCCAATCCTAGGTAGAGAGACCCAATACTCTATGGGAACTTTGAAGACCTGTAGCTAACAGCAACCTTCACACTAGACACAGAGATGTCCATTTAGAAAAGAACAAGAAGAAGTGTCATTGTGCTTCTTCACTCAAAACAAAATATTTTTTATTATATAAATGTAACAAGTCCCAAGAGCTGCATATCACAATAAAAAATATTAGCTCTCACAGTGTTTTTAAGATAACCCAAAAATTGAAATGTTCAGGAAGATTAAAATTGCTTCAGTGACCCCACTAATGTAACCAATAGCATAATGCCAAGCACCTAGCTCTAGTATTACAAGAAACAGAGATACAAAGATACAAAAAAATTGCAGAATATAAATTTATGCCAGAATTATTTCCCAACACAGCACTCACTTCATCGATCAAGTTCTCCTCACAGATCCTCTCCCGGTAAGTGTTCCGGACTACAGTGCCAGCACTCATGAAATTTGAGTCGTCATCACCATCATCCAATGTGTCTGAGTAAAACCATCCAAAGTATTAAAAGCAGAGTATTGTGAATTCTCAAGATAACTATTGAGAACAATGTTGACTACGAGGATATAACACAAATATAACAATATTTGTTTATTCTACAGGCAGAAAATTCTCACTTAGCAACACTGATTAGGCACTTGACAATGAAGTAGGTCAAACTATACAAAACAAAATGTGTGTCATAACGGTGAAATCAGGCATTTGTCAAATCAATGAAGTAAAAAAAAACTGACAGTTTTGCATCTGCTGTGCTATTTTTATCACATTTTTTAAACACATTTTGGGCTCAACACCTTTTATATCCATTAAAAAATACATTTCTCCATAGAGCGTACTGATAAACGTTGAAAAAAAGAAACAAAAATTATAAATTTGCAGTTTCCAAGAACACTCAAGGTTTGGAAATCACCAAGCTTTCGCAAACATTTTCTCGCTAATTTTACCTCTGACACCACGTGACTCCACCTCCTTTAACCCCAAACTTCTGGACCTCTATTCAAGATAAGGGTACATTTTTCATCAAAAGCAAGGTAAATGAACAGGCTTTAAGATAATATCAATAACTACATACGCCCAAAAATTTACAAGCGCCTGATTCCATTGTGTTGTGACAAAAAAACAAGAAAAAAAACAAACAAAAGAAAGTATGCTCTCTAATCATCATATATGATCCAGTATCTCGAATAGCCAAAACTGTATTGCAAGGACTTAACAAACCATAAGTCAGAATGCAAACAAAACAAACAACCCAAAATATGAAGAGATTTATCCATAACACTGACACCCATACACTATTTTATTTAGGCTCTGTTCTTAAAATAAATTGATACTGTGATCTGTCAATTTTCCACAAATCAAAAGATTGTGTAGGCCTGCATTTTGCTTCCAAATCAAATCTTTTCCAGAAACAAAATACAACACTCACCAAATCCCTCTGTTTCTATCTGCTCAGCCTTTCTCTTGGCTACTTCAGCCAACGCTGTCTCTCCCCGTTCTGCAGCCATATAATGAATATCCTAAAAGTCGGAAAGGAAAATTATTTTTATTGATCATGAGATCCATTTAAATATTTAAAACTATAGGATGCAGCTATGCGGTAAAAAAAGAAAAGAAGAAAAGATAATTTCAGATGTTAGCATTGTAAAATTTCCTCTGCTTTCAAGGCTCATAAATTTTCACTTTAAAAATAAAAAAGCCTTGAAAGCTTCTAAGGCATACACAATTAATGTCAAAACCACATCCTGTTCCATCTATTGCAAAAGGACTGATGTCTGATCATAGTGGTTGTCTCTAAAAAGTACTCAACATTGTCTGGGAAAGCACAGTGACTAGTTCAAAAGGGGTTTTATTTATTTATTTTTTTTGTTTTGTTATCTAAGTGGTTTACCCCCCAATCAACACAATTTACATCATTTAGGAGGCCTTGCTTCTTACCCTGCATGTCTGGGATAAACCGAGCTAAGAAGGATACAACATCCCAGCAGAAGGACTAAGAGAGCCGATAAAAATTTTACTCCACACGAGAATCCAACTCAAGACTCCTGCGTGTGACAGCCAAGCTACTGTTACCACCACACAAAGGACACGTTTTTTTTTCAAAGTGGAAGATCATGATTCAAGAGAACAGACCACATGTAAGTCTGAATTTCATTTCAAAACCACCTGACTGTAACGTAACAGAATGTCAGCAACCAGCACTGTTTGGAGTTTTCTTTTCGTTACAGACTGTGAATATAGGATGGATACAACTCATATTAAAGATAATCTATTCTTTGAAAATTGGAATGATGTATCAAAGAAGAATATACATGGACCCCCATTAATAAAAAATGGACAGATAACTAAAATCAGAATGGAGGAAAATCCATAAGACTGAGTTTTTTCCTCTCTAAATATTATAAATCTACCAGGAGTGGATCAATCAAAAGAAAAAAAAGGAAGGTTGGTAAAAAAACACAAAATAATGTCACTGCCAGACACCTTAAATAAAATCTCACCATAAATAAGTCACGAGCTCCCATGTCCACTGCCAGAAGAAAAGCTTTGTCAAACCGCACGTACCTGTAAAATAAAAGGAATATCATTACTTTCAGAAGAGATAAATTCCCACTAACCAACAATGCTGTTAATGCCTCAGCAGAAATGTTCTAGAAATGAATTACTTAAAGAACACACGATTGAGAAATATTAAAAAGTATGAAAACCCAAGGAAAAATTTTGCTTTCAAGGCTGTAGGAGCATAATTTCATGTGAAAAAGGTACATCGTCTTAATAAAGTAACAGTTCTATTAATGGACTTCACTGTCATAGCTGTTTTTTTTATCTCTCAATGAATAATCATTAGACAATTCACAATCAGCATTAAAACGATAAATTTTATTATTTACGAAGAGTGTTCTTAATCATTGTGAGACTTCAAACTGTTTGCAAAAGTTACACCAAAGAAACCATACCTGAGGAGAAGATGAAAGAATCTCCTGGCTAAGAGTCCCACGGGCTCTCTGTATTCAAGAATTGTAGCTTCAGAAATTGCCGGTTTAGGAGCATAAAATGTTGCTAAAGCTACTTCCAACTGGGCTGAGGAAGTGAAATAATGGTAGGATAAAATTATACGAACTGCAGTGAGAAATGCGAAATACGATTTTCGTTCTACTGCAAACACTAAATGAAACTCGGTTTAACACTGATTTCATAACCTGTTCATAACATAACTGATAACGTAGATGCCTATCTATACAGGAAACTGATTACAGTTTATTCAGTTCTGGTTACATCCAAACAGCCCTTGTTTATGTGTTTATGCTTTAAATTGGCTGCATGTCTAAGAAGAATTCAAATTCTATAATACTTTCAGAGGATCCAAGAAGCACTGGACTAATCAATTTATTTATATGGTCCAATTTTCCACAGCTACAAGGTGTGAATGACCTTCATACAATAACAACAATATGAACAGAAATCCGCCGTCATTACCTATCTCATAGCTTACTCGCTTTAAGGAAAGAAGAAAGAAATCATCTCGCCATTTCATTTCAGGCAAATTTAATAAAAATAATTAGTTGAGGACTGACCTCTCATTTTATCAAACATTTTAACAAAAATTATGCCTAGTTTTTTTTATACATTTAATCCCTACTTCATGAACATAAGGCAACTTATTCCTTCAAAATATAAAATTCTAATTCTAAAATTAACAAAAACATAATGCTTATCTCACTCACCTTCTCTTTCTGCATTCAAAGGCATTCTCAGTAAATGATTGACAATGGTGGACAAGCAAGCATAACAGGCCGGACCTTCAGTATCCCATTTCATACTACACAATAATCCCACAGCCTGGAAATCGAAGGAAAAAAAAGTAGTTCTTCAACAGGGCTTCATTACAGAGTTAAAAACATACTTGAGTTATCGAACGGCTAACAACTTTAATGAAAATACAAATTGAGACCACACAGGTAAACCCATTCTCAACACCTCATTGACTCACTACATTGCAGTCACCTTTCCCTCTCAAATCATGACCAGTGCATGTTTTAAAAAACAAAACAAATTTAACTACCAGTATCATCATGGAGACCAATGGATCAGAAAATCTTATTTAGAAATGAAAATGATTGTCTTTGCAGCAACATGGTAGTTCTATAACTTTCCTTCCTCCTTGTTTCTCACATATGATCATCAGTTTATGATGGACAAAACTTTTAGTATTACCTCATCTACTTGACGGTGCCTGATGTACTCCTTGACCAACTCCAAACAGGAAAACCTGTCCTTCGTGCGTACACCCAGGTGGAATTGTAACAATGCTGCAGGACCCCTACAAAAGGAAACCAAAGATTTTTTTTAAAATGGGTTTGATTCAGTGAGTCTCATGTCCACACATTATTACTATAAGACAAACTATAATATAAAACTAGCAACAGAAATCACTTACAATAATTAAACTAACAGTAGGTTTCTTTACATAGATAAGAAAGGAGTGAAATTATTGTTTCATTGCAGCTGCATTCATTCTTCACAAGTGACATTTCTAAAGTTTTGCATCATAACACACACAAAAATAACTTCTTAGCATTTCAAAGGGATTTGCATTGTACTTATTACTAAGTCCTTTAAAGAATCCTCTATCATATCAGAAAAGCAGGGCATAACAAACTTTAATCCTATTAATCTAAAAGCCTTCACAACAATGATCACCACAATGTAAATACTTGTTAAAAGACAGGAACACTGCATCTGTGTTGGTGGTCATAAGTTCTGACGAGTGAGATCCAAATGGACACCAGTCAAGTTCATTCAAGGTGACAGAAGTTCTGAAGTAAAAGGAAAAGGTGTTAAATATTGGTTTTAAAAACATAATAACTGTATGATTCACTGAACACAACAAATCCACACATTCTTTAGCCTTCACCACCCCTAGTGGAGTGTAGGAAACAATATAGATCCATCCAAATGTCTCTTTCCTGAGCCTTCTTCTCCAGTCTTCCTATATCAGCCTTTCAGGTTCTTCACCAAGTGCTCTTTGGATAACCTCTTTTCTCTTCTTTCCTTTGGTATTCCAGTTAAGGGTCTGCCTTGTTACATATCTTCCTTGTTAAGTGTTTCCTACTCAATTTCTATCATATTGTTTTGCTCCTATTTAAAGCTTTGAATAGATGTCATCTCTCTATTGTGAGAGACTTCTATTACTGAGTCATTGTATGTGAAGGATTCTCTGAGGACAAGTATTTATGAAGCTTTGCATTTTCCTTATACCTTATAACAATATAAGTCCCCCACTTCACAGTCCAGTACAACAGGAGCAGTTCATCTTTGCTGTTGGGTATTCTAAGCTTAAACATAAATTTGAAATTGCCTGTGCTTCAGATATTCTTCAGCTCTAAGAAATGAACAGGTTACCACCCCCCTCCCCTCCCGCCTCAAAAAAAAAATCACCTGTGACACATGCGCACGCGCACACACACACACACACACACACACACTGATACACACACACATACACACATGCACACACACACAAAATAATTTCTTCCCCAGTGTAACAAACCGACACATTGATCCGAAAAAGAACTTTGAATTTCTGTACATGGACGAAACTGTTTTGTCAGCATCATGTAGAGCGGTACAAGCTGTATTAACCATAATAAAAAATAACCACAAGCTGACCAAAATAGTGACAATTGCTGTGGAGCTGGGTTGGAAATCTTTTTTTTTTTTCATTTACACATTCAAGATTTGATTCTAAGGGGGGAAAAGATGTTTTAACTATATTATGTTTTCTGTCATCCAAGAATATCTCCTTTCTGGAAGACACTGGTAAATCTACTATGGAAAAAGTTTTATGTGACACCCACATACACAAACCTCTTGTTCAAAATCCATAAAATGAACCATAAAAAAAGGAAATAAATGCTTTACTTCAAATAAATCTTCAGACATCTAAATTGCCAGCCATTTAATTTGTAAACATTTTCTTTACAAAATGTCATTTTGTACCAACAGACCTGAAAAACTTGCTGATTCTCAGAAATTTCTCTGGTGAAGGCTCCTCTGCGACCAGCTGAATCTTTACAGGACTCAGAGCACGGTCAAATATCTGCACAATGACATTTATCAGAAATTGTGTTTAGGAATAGAAAACAAAGTATCTTTTTGTTTCCAGTCTTATTTTATTTGAGACAAAACCTACAATCTAAAATAATCATGATGAATGATTAATTGAGACACACTTTTAACATTAATCAGAAACAGGTAATTAACTTAATGATTATTATTTCTTGAAACTTTCATATTATTTTTAATACACAAGACTGTGACTTAAATACAAAAAAGGCATGTAAAATTAGTAAGAATAAAATTAATCCTTTTTCTAAAGAGTATTAACAAGAAAACGATGCTTTCATTTTAATGAATCCCAAGAACTCTAAGTTAAGATTAAGAACAAGTCCATAAATGAGTGAGAGAAAGAAGACTCAACAGTCACTGCATTTATTAGAAAAACAAACAACAAGAGCAGTGAGTACGCAAAACTAAAATATCTCAAATAAACCAATCAGCATGGAAGGGATTTGAAAAAATACGACAAGTTTCTATTGATCATCACTATGCTGAAAATAATTGTAAAAAAAATAATTTCCTAAAGCAAAATCTTTTTTACCACAATTGATTCCTACCTGTATATCAGCTCTTGCACTTGCAACAATCACAAGATTTCCATGGGGATGCCACGCTATACAGGAAGGAAGCTGATGGTGGAATAGATATTCATTACGGAGAGGGTGAAAAATACATGCAGTAAAACCCTGGTAAATTGAACTTCACAGGACCAGAGGATCTCTTTGTGTTAAGCAGATTGCTAATGAAAAGATCAAAAATGGGAGGCGACTTCTTTCTTACTGTTCAGATTAGATGATATGCCTTGAGTAATCTATTGTTAGTCATTAAACAAATAAAGTGAGTAAATCTAGTCAACAACATGTCAGTGTCGCACTGGAGGTTTGTTTGATTTAAGTATTTCAGTCTGTTATATTTTCTTCTCATTACTAGGCCTATATAAAAAATGAATTTTGCTTTGAGCGTGCGGAAGAGCCTAAAACCAGAATATCCACTGTCAAGAACCAGTCTGGGTGTCATGATTCATGAATGTGAAAGACAAAAATTATTGCTCAAACTCAAAGTAGAGCAATAATTTGAATGGCTCAAGTAACACTGCATGGGTCTACTTGAGCCATTCAAATCTGGGATTTGGCAATCACTGAGTACCACGGCTATGACTCTGTTCACTGAAAAGTCTCTCCGGGTTCATTATTCTGTGGGCAGGTTTAATTTACGACTGTTTTCCTATTGTTTACTACCTTCACGGCACCTTTACTACCATTTACAACCTTTATGACCAGGGCGCTGAATTTACTACTTTTTTACGACTTTACGACCTTGCTGGACACCCTGAATGAGGTTCAAATTAGGGGGTTGTGGCTGTCTATCTGACAACTTTTCCAAAGCTACCACTCAGTTTTTGAACAAAACATGGAATTGATACAGCTGCGTATATTTCTACTTTTCAAGCTTTTATCAAACTTATATACTCCAAGGAAAAGCGTGAATTTGCTGCTGAAACCAACCATCACTGATGTAGGGTGTATTTGAAATCAATTGCAGGGGGTGGGGGGGAGGGGGGGATTTTGTACCGAAAGTGCTGTCAAACCCCTATTCTTTGTTCCAATACATAGTATCAGTTCTTAAGTCTGTACATTTCCAAAACGCATAAATTCATTGGTAAAGGATAAAGGATGAGTGTTATAAATTATAAAGAAAGATCACACATGAAGAGAGATGTTTTCTCAAAAGTCTAGCTTCTGACAAACTCTTTACGAACTCTTTACCAACAGGTAAATATTCAAATGTAAACTCCATCATAAAGACAAAAACAACTCACCACAGCTGCTCGTGTGTAGAGAGTCATCTTGCGATAGTCATCGTACATGACCTGGAAGACACATTAGCACGATAGCTTAATAACTTTAATTTTTTTCACACGATTATCCTTCCATGTTTTGGAAAAATACGTCTTCTTTTATTGTCAGGTTATTTCTTTTTCAAGCTTTAGAACTTCTATCCCCTCCTTCCCCTTTTTTTTGTGCCGCCCCCCAGAAATAAATAAAAAGAAAGTTATAAACTGCATGTTGCCAGTTTGTTTTAAAAGGAATGTTACAAAAAATAACCAAAAACTTACTGCAAATCATGTCAAATTCGTGATACCCAAAAATACTCAAAATACTACCTATTCCATAAACTGTACAACAATCAAAAAGCAAATTTATTGCACAGGAAAAAAATAGTACCGGTATGGCAAAAGGTCAAAGGTTAGTCCAGATTCGAGAAACGAAAACTAGAAAAAAATCTATTCCAGATACATTCTTGTTTAGACAACCTTTAATTCTCTTTTTTTTTATGATTTGAAGACTGTAAAAATAGTATAGTATTTGAACCGAATTCCTAAATTCAGGTGATTTTGTACATCTACCCAAAAGACGTTTGTTTTAACAGGAGATGACACTGAGGGAAACAATCCTTGATATACTCATAATACAATGTTCAAATACTTATAGCGCCTTCTCACCAATGAGCCATCAGACAATCCGATGAGAAGTTTGTCCTCCTGAGGGTTCCTGCCTTGGCACACAATGGTGTCTGTATGGACATAAGAAAATACATGTTGTTTAAGCCTTTTGGAGTCAAATTCTTCACCAACAGTAGCAGCTAATTCCTTTAAATTCCTGTTCAGTGATCAATCTTTATAAAAAAAGCCAAGCCTAACATTAAGGAAATCTTGTGGGGAGGAAGAAGTGGGATGTGCTACACAATTTTTTTCCAGCATGGTTTTGGTCGAGTTTACCTCCAGCATTGCATTTTTTCACAAGCTGGTTTTGGTCAGGATGAACACCCACATTGCATTTTTAGTGCCCCGTTTTGGCTGGCCAGGCTTAGCTTTTTACTATAACCCCTAATTTTTCAAGCACTTTGTTTTGCAAAGCTCCGGACACTTACAAGCAGTAACTAGCACAAACTTCGAACAATATTTTTCTTTAAAAACGTAAAAGCCTTACTTTTCAGGGGAACAGTCACAACAGATGCTGTCTGAATCTGCAACAAAGAAGAGATTCATGGTGCTCAGGATTGTATAGACTTCCAAAATTAAAACAGTTATCTAGCCTGTCATCCGTGTACTACAATGTAAATACCATTTTCTTGCATCTTGTCCCTTTAGCAATACTATTTCTTTAAATATCTGACAGAATATGCACAATTACATTGAATACATTGAATGTGAGTCTTCTAGATCAGGAAAGTGAAAGATTCACAGAAACACTTATCCTCAAACTGCAAGATTTTACTTGCAATAAGAATTATTTCAATGTTTCTTTTTTTTTGGAAAAATATGCCCTCAAGCAGTAAGATGAAAATGTATCTGATTTGTAATAAGTACTATACGCTCTTAAAAGTGAGAGAAAACCCTACCTTTCCTCTGATTATTTCATATGTGCACATTCTTGCTTTCACTTCTCCATGTCCTTTGGTCTGCTGCTCAACAGAAAAAATCCTGTGAGGCTGCAAAAGACTTTAGAGGAAAACAAAATAAATGACATCTAAACTTTTGCTTAAAACTACCTTCGGTTTAAACAGAATGTGTGTACATGCAAATCAAAATCCCAAATATATAATATTTACAAAATAACTTTTACAATCTCTGTTCATAGAGAGCCACTGAGAAGTTTAACAAGGCAATATCCCTTACAGAGGCATTCAGAGAAACACTTTCTCTACAAAGCGATATTCTTTAATAGCTTCAGTGTATACTTAAAATACATACAGTAAAAGCTAATTAAGAAAACAAAAGCATAAATGAAACGCAGTTTTATCATACTAAATATCCTGAGATAATTTGCATTTTGAGAAAAAAATTATATTTTAAATTATACAATTCTTTTCATAAAAGTATAGAAAGGACAGAGTCTTCCAAAAATGTAAAGATTTGACTTATACAAGTAGTACAATTTGCAATGGCACCCTCAGATGTCAAATAGAATTTGGAGGGACATACTTACATTTCAGCACAGAGAGAGAGAGACAGACCAAGTCTCTCATCTTTTCTTTATAATCAGTTCTTTGATTTAGATGGAAAACTATTACTCCCATTTAAAAGGCAATTTAAAAAACTCCCCATTAATTTACTCATTAATTCAAAAAGCATGAATGGGATACATTTCTTGTGCGAAGATCATCAAACATTTTCAAATCATTGTTAAATACATGTACTAAGCCCATACCTGAACTGAGAATGCAATGGATCACAATCAGTTTTCAAGTAAGTCATAACGTAAGCCATGGGGCTGAAAAAAAGAAAAGAAAACCAGACATAAAATCTACTGAGTGGTAATAAATCAAACATATATTACTTCCTTAAATTAAATAACAACTTCTCCACTCCCCCTACACTATACAACACACATAAGACTCCACATTAAGGGTAAAGAGAAAAATGAACGTACAAACAACAGCAAGACAACTTGTGCATTTCAATCATCACAGCAAATCACACATGCACTCACAGGAAATCATTTGTTGGAAAAACAAATTTTCACAACACAAAAGTATTATATTACACAATAAACACTATGAAATCAACACTGCAAGTATTTACATTCTTAAAACTGGCATATTTTATTTTTTCATTAATAATAAATAAGAAACAGCATTTGTATAACGCAAATTCCAGATCAACACCAAGCTCTATGCCCTTTTCAATCTACATTATTTCCCCAGCAGACCTGATAGCATTCTGAAATAATCTCACCTTCCTGGGAAGCATACCCTGCAAACTGCCATTTCATACCAACAAGATTTGCCACTGTCTATTGCCAGGTACCCATTCCCACCTGGGTAACTTGAGGAAAATTTGTGTAAAGCGCCTTTTCCAAGGACACAACATCGGGCTTGAGGCTCCAACCCCCGAACTTGCAATCTCACAATTATGTATGACTGATGTTATGAAATGTAAAAATGGGAATGAACTATTTTGCGAATGTTGAAATAACGATTCTTTAATATCACAATTATTTCCCCTTCTTGATACGTCACATTTTGTCTCGTCTTGAATTCACACGATATTTCAGTGTAAAATAAACAACAATAAAATCAGTTCACCGGCAGGTAGGCAATAGAGCGTTAGTGAGTTTTCGTCTTCTTTTCAAGTATTAATCTTTTTATAGTGTGAGGCCATATGCAGCCGTCACACTGACCATGAGACTACGGTACCGATGCCATTCCTATCTTTTAAATTCATATAAGGAAACTTATTAACTTCACATAAGGCACAGAATATAATGCTCCATACCCATTTAAGGAAATGATGACAATGTTTGCTCTATCCTTGTCACTTGAGATAGGACTCCAGGGCCAGGCCTCCCCGCTCTCCACTGACCACCATATCAGCAGCTAGTGAAGGAAAAAATTTAGCCATGGTCAGGGGTGAGCTCACTAGAGACGACAAAATTATTTTTTTTTAACCCAAACCTACACACATAAATTTCAAGAAATAACCTAAAATCATAGATTGACAATCACATGGCAAGGGATGTTGATTTGTGTAACAACGCAGTGGAATCACGTGCTCGTCAATTTTTGGGTACGTGGACTTATTGGTATCATCTTAAAGCTTGTTCATTTGTGTTGCTTTCAATGAAAGAAATACCTATTTATCTTGAATAGAAGTCAAAATATTTGCGATAGAAGGAGGAGGGGTTTCAGTGATAAAAATAGCATAGCAAAAAAATGGCAACCAAAAGTTGACAATTTCAATAGCTTGAGAGTCCCTGACGATGATCAAATTCCATATTTTGTACCTTTAATCAACGTTTCTCTGTAAAATTTTCATGGAAATGGGTATTTATATGGACACGAAAGGTGTTAAGCCAAAAAAATGAAAATTCGATAAAAATTTTCAAATATTTTCAAACTGGTTGAAAAGTGCCTGTTTTTTTTTCAAATTCATTATTTTGACGAGTGCCTGATTTCACCAAGATGCCTCACAATTAGTGTTTTATGATGTGTGTTTGTGTGTGTGCCTGCACGTGTGTGTGTGTATGTGAGAGAGAAAGAGAGAGAGAGAGAGAGAGAGAGA